TCATGGATATTAAGGTATTTATTCTTAGCATAGGGTCTGTTTATATCAAACTTCTTCACAGCCTTGTGCTTAGTTCAAAATATGTATAAACAATAGATGTGTCCCATTTGTACAGAAAATGATTAATGTTAAAAAGTTACATAAAAATCATTAATAAATGCCTGATAAATCAAGTGTGAAATTAAAGGTTTTATAATGAGTGGGATACTGCTTTATATCAACATGTTGTTTGGCAAGTTTATTATTATTTTTTGATTAAATAAGGATTCTTAATATCAAGATAAATTTAATTGTCATGAGTTGTTAAACCTATTTCTCTTTGTAAATCTTTTCTCCTTGTGTGGTCTAGTATTTATTTACATATCATCAGCTAAGATGTTGACTTTATTTGGTAGAATTTTTCAATATTCAAATATTGACTCCCTTTGAGCCATTGTATAAGTGTACACATGACTTTTCTTTATTTACTCATCCATGACTGAAAGAGTAAATTATAATTGTTAGTACATTTTGTGTTCAAAATTGGCCAGTTTTCACAAACAATCTTTACTATTAAAACAAAATATGAATACTATTCATTGTTTACCCTCTTGACATCACATATGGTCTGTATTGAGATATCATTTAATGTATTTTTTGGTAATTTTATATTATTTCCAGTTGTACATGCCCATATAGTTCTTTCAAAAGATAAATTTTATATCCTTTATAGACAGTACATAAACCTAATTGTTGAATAAATACATTTACACAAGTAAGCCAGGTTTTCTAACATCCAAGATTAAAAGTTTTCTATTTGCATACCAAGGAGTTTTTTTAAAACAAACTATTCTTGCAGAATGATATAAAAAAGGATAATATATTAACTCTGTACAAAATTTCAAAACCACTACATATATGTATACAAAATGTGTTCTCTTCTATCAGGGCATTACCATCAAAACATTCTTGTAACAGACCATTAAATGTGCACTTCTTTCAGGTCATTACCATCGAAACATTTTTGTAATAGACCATTAAATGTTCACTTCTTTCAGGGCATTACCATCGAAACATTCTTGTAATAGACCATTAAATGTGTTCTTTCTTATAGATTTTAAAGTTGAATTACAAAGGGATCTAATTGAATGTGCTTTCTTTGCATAGTTGGAGTTTAGATGGAATAACCCTGATAAATCTCAGAACAGGTCTTGCCAAGTATTTTTATATAAGTTTATTTTTTAGAATATTTTGTGTTTAAAAAAATAGAAATGGAAAGGAAGGTTTAAGAAAGGGAAGCGTACTGTTGATTATATCAAGCTTTATCTATTGTAAAAACATAAAAGTTAAATAAAATCAGAACGATGATAACTATCAATTAGTGAATTGAAGATAATAAAAAAAGAACGATGTTTTATAGATTGTTATGTTTTATTTAAATTTTCATTAAGACTGTCCCATAAAAATATACATGGGAACCAGGGAAGGCACTTTGTAATATTTTTAAAAAGAACTAAAACTAGTTCACGACATATACTTCTAAGAAAATAACTCCTACTGTGGGGTTGCTCAACAACCTTGACTACCATGAGGATCTTTAATGGCTCTTTATAATCACTATCACACTCTTTATCTGTTTATAATCACTATCACACTCTTTGTGTGTTTATAATCACTATTACACTCTTTATCTGTTTATAATCACTATCACACTCTATCTGTTTATAATCAATATCACACTCTTTATCTGTTTATAATCAATATCACACTCTTTATCTGTTTATAATTGTACTAGTTCACTCATTCAAAAACAACCACAGAAGAGTTGAAATGTATAAAAAAGATATCACACCTGCACAATTACCTATGCTGACTTGCTGTAATTTTGTCTAGCGGAATGAATAATTACTTATGCCTATTAATCAATTTGATTAGATGTTACAAACTGCAAGTGAATATTTATTTGACAGCAAATTCAAGTTCTGTGTGCCTTGGAATTGCAAAATATATAAAGTGTAACTATTCCATTTCCAATAATACATATATCATATCAAGAGAAGTGTTGTGATGTTACAATTTGGTCCGAAATATATCAAAAAGCTTTCTATTTAAATGAACTTGTTAAAAATTCTTCCTTCGTTTTATTTTTTCTCATTAGCACTTTGTTTTTCAAAATAACACTGATTTTTATACGACCGCAAAAAAATTTTTGTGGTCGTATATTGGTATAACGTTGGTGTCGTCGTTGTCGTCGTCGTCCAAAGACACATTAGTCTTCACACTCTAACTTTTAAGTTTAAGTGAATGGATCTCAATGAAATTTTACCATAAGGTTCAATACCACAAAAGGAAGATGGGGATTGATTTTGGGGGTTATGGTACCAACAGTTAAGGAATTAGGGGCCAAAAATAAGCATTTTTGTAACTTCCAGACATAACTTGTGTGTAAGTGTATGGATCTCTCTGACATTGTACCACAAGGTTCCATATCACAAAGGGAATGCTGGGATTGATTTTGGGGGTAATTGCCTCCAAATTTTAGGAATTAGGGGCCAAAAAGGGGCAAAAAACAAGCATTTTTCTAGTTTCATGACAATAACTTGTGTGTAAGTCTATGGATCTCTGACATTGTATCACAAGGTTCCATATCACAAAGGGAATGCTGGGATTGATTTTGGGGGTAATTGCCTCCAAATTTTAAAATTTTCCATTTTAAATTGGTTATTTCTGATTTATATATAAAAGCAAATAATAATGATATGGTTTGAATAAGTAAATTAAAAAAATTTAAGTTCTTAGACCACTTTCATTCTGTGTCAGAAACCTATGCTGTGTCAAATATTTAATTACAATCCAAATTCAGTGCTGTATCAAGCTTGAATGTTGTGTCCATACTTGCCCCAACTGTTCAGGGTTCGACCTCTGCGGTCGTATCAAGCTGCGCCCCAGCGGAGCATTTTATTTTGTGTATATATTTATGTAAATACACATGTTTTGTTTTGTGAGTGTACTGAACATTTTAATAGATGATATGCTTGATCCTTACCTTAGAAATCCTTGTAAAAATCCATTTATGTAGATCAGTTAAAAATTAAATGCATAGTTCAGTACATAATTGTAATGTTTATACAAGTTTTTACTACACTGCAGTCCTTTAGATATGAACAAGATTTTTTTTTATCTCTTATTAATATTACTACAATAAAAGAAATATTGTAAATGGAAAAATGCTTGAAAATAGAAGGAATATCAAGTTTGTATAAATGGACCAGGACTATCAAAAGAATTCTTATTAGAGGAAATGATAAATAGAATAAAATAAAAACAATTCCTCTCACTGATTATTGTGATTATGTGAAAAACCAAAAGATATATCAATTGCTTCCATTATTTCATTATGCAGGGAAGGAGATTACATCTGTCTTTAAAACTATATATGTGTAATGTCTGTTTATATTGCTTATGATTGCTGTTAACACTATATTCAAGCAAAGAAACAATAAAAAAATCACATAACTTTGCATTTTAGTATCCTTTCAGAAATATATATTGCCTAGATAGTAATCTTTGCAGATGTGACAAAATGGTCTATTATTTTATATTTTTATATTTATACTTTGTAAAAAAACACTCTGATTCAAACAAAAAATTCTCTGAAACTTGACATCAAGATGCTTGATTTTTTTTACAAACATATTTGCTAAGTTTGGGGGACATGTTTTTCATCGAACAATCAGCATTCAAACGGGAACTAATTGTGTCCCTCTTCTTGTCAACTTGTTCCTTTATTTATATGAGACAGACTTCATACAGATGCTTCTTAGGAAGAATGAAAAGAAGCTAGCATTATCCTTAAACTTCACCTTCCGCTATATAGATGATGTCCTCTCACTAAGTAATCCAAAATTTGGCCACTATGTTGAAAACATCTATCTTATTGAAAATGAAATAAAGGATACCACAGATTCATTTAGATCTAAGTCTGCCTCATATCTTGATTTATATCTAAAAATTGACAATGCGGGTCAGTTGAGAACAAAACTTTATGTCAAAAGGGATGATTTCAGCTATCCAATTGTAAACCTTCCATTTATATGTAGCAAAATTACAGCATCACCTGCATGTGGAGTATATATATCTCACAGTTGAAATGATATTCCAGAGCTTACGTTTCCTATTATGATTTCCTTCATTGCATGATTATCAGGACGGGTGCCTCATGTGGAGCAGGAACTGCTTATCCTTCCAGAGTACCTGGGTTCACCCCTGGTTTTTGATGAGGTTCGTGTTGCTCAATCTTTAGTTTTTATGCCCCACCTAGGGGCATTATGTCTTCAGGTCTGTGCGTTCGTTCGTCCGTTCGTCTGTCCCGCTTCAGGTTAAAGTTTTTGGTCAAGGTAGTTTTTGATGAAGTTGAAGTCCTATCAACTTGAAACTTAGTACACCTGTTCCCTATGATATGATCTTTCTGATTTTAATGCCAAATTAGAGTTTTGACCCCAATTTCACGGTCCACTGAACATAAAAAATGAAAGTGCGAGTGGGACATCCGTGTACTATGGATACATTCTTGTTTTTAGTTTCAATCCATTGAGCAGTTTTAGAGAAGATTTTTATGGACGACAGACGCAAAGTGATGGCAAAAGCTCTCATGTCCCTTCAGCATTTACATTTGCATGGAAATCTTTAAAGTTGGTTAGTATTGACATATATGAGTTGAGAAATACTATTAGTTACATGTGCTAGTGGGGTCAATTATGAGGCGAGAGCGAGTGAAGGTCAAGACCTAAATGGAATTCACTGACCCTGTATATTTCGTATTAGGTCACTAGCACACTTGTAATGAATTTATCTTATATGGGGAATTAGACGTAGTATTCAGCCTTAATATCACATCCGCATCTCTAAGAAATTGTTTTGTCTAAAAACAAAGTAGTTTTTATGAGTATTTACTAAAACATATAGGATACATATTTGGCAAATCATCATTTACTACTGCAGTTGTCTTAAATGTACACATGTGATATTTACACTTTAATTTGTTATGAATAAATACTACGGATTGATAATGAAGAAAACATTTTTGTCGAATCAGCATTTATTATTTAAGACATGACTTAGTTTGACCATATTGTAATGTCAGTCTCACTACCCTGTACTACTTCCTTCTATACACTTCTGGAACCATTTTGTCACTTAAAACTACCATGTCAATCACTAACTGCAGCTCTTTCAATCTACTTAATCAGAACATCCAGGAAGCATTTTTAACATCACTTCACAGTTATTTCAAAAACATAATTTACTCAGATTTTTAAGTCTATTACAAACTAGTCTGATGAAATGGTTTTAAAATGTGATTTTGTACGAGCCTAGCCGTCTGTCTATTAGGATGAGTCGTTGTTGAGAAGTTTGAAGAGAACTGGTAACAAAAATAAGAAAACTGCAACAGAAAATAAAATAGTCCGTTAATAAACAAGGCTACTCCGTGTTAATTATGATCAGTGTTAAATTTGTGAATTTTAGCTTAAAAAAAATAGCGAGTCTTTTTTTTTCAATATGTAAGAAATGGAAATATATCTAAGAAATTTTATTGAATTGTACAAAACTTGTGAAAGAATTTCGAATAAAGTCAACGACTTAGATTTGCCAAAGTTTCACACATGAAGTTCAGTTCAGTTTTTTGTATGTTCCTCCATTAATTGTGGAACACTACCCATAGGGTACAATTGTAGCAACTATATACACCTTAAAATATAAGGGAACATATAAACCTATGTACAGATAAATGAATAAGGGCAATATTTTTATTATATCATAGGATAGTCATTGCAGTTTTAAAACATAAAATTAATTAATCATAATAGTTATATTATAAAAAAAAACATGTGCTGAGGTGTAAGAAAAAGTTAAGTAGGAACTGGATATATTTACAAATAAAATTTGAATATTTAAGTAATTAACATGAAAAATAAAAATTCCAAATGATTCATACTCGTGTCTGTAAAACCCCTTAATTTGTATAAACCAAGATTTAATTGTTTTGTTAAACATGCTTACTTAGAAGAGACTGGTCTGACTGTAAATTTGATATTCCTCCAACACTTCCGAGTCCTTGATGTGGAGCACTTATGGAATATGGTACTGGGTATGCCAAAGGTACTGTATGGACATTGCCCAAATAATTATCATAAAGTCCATCAGCTTTAATGCCGCAAACGAAAATCACACCAATTGCAACAATAACAGAGAATATTCTTGAAGTCTTCATCTCTGAAAGTGTAATAATGAATCAATAGATATAGGAAGATGTGGTATGAGTGCCAATGAGACAACTCTCCATCCATAGATATAGGAAGATGTGGTATGAGTGCCAATGAGACAACTCTCCATCCATAGATATAGGAAGATGTGGTATGAGTGCCAATGAGACAACTCTCCATCCAAGTTACAATTTATAAAAGTAAACCATTATAGGTCAATGACTAGATGATGATGATAATGATCAGTGTTAGGCGTCCAGTGAAAACTATTACATGCATATCAAGACGAGAACTTGTTAGTGTTATAGATATAATAACACTGATTTGTATAAAGCCGAAACGATGAGCAATTTTAACATGCCAGTTCACAAAGTAACAGTCTGAAGGAAGACATGTTATCTTTCCGTATACTTATTATAATTATTATGATTCTAGACCAACCACTCTTTGCTATTACTCATAAATGATTCACGCTTAACCAAGGATTTGTATTACTATAAAAATCCTTGGCTTAACTGAGTAGTAGCAAACACGAATTTTGAAGTCTATGATTTGAACTGCAGTCGACACGAAGCCACCATCAAGGCGGTCATTGACTAGATGAAAAGTAAACCTGTCGATTTAGATCAGCCAATTGTAACGTCCAAACAAAGAACATCTGGAAAGTCACATGTAGATGTATTATAGAAACTTTCAAAGATGAACCCAAACCCTCACGACAAAGAACCCTAAAGCCGATACTTTGTATACTCTAGAATACTTTGAATACAATATTGTGTGCTTACAAAAGAAAAGATAAAAAAAGACTACTTTTATGTTTATCGTGATTCTTTGTCAAACTAAATTATATACCAATGATTATCTTTCTTATAATTATTTCTTGTCCCCCATGTTTATGTATGTTCCACTGCGCGACTGACTCAACAGGTGAACTCGGAGTCTCTTCTCATTCTTTTTATGCTTCTTATTTTGTTTTGGGTTGTATTGGCAAACATTTATCATCTCCATAAAAGAACAAAGTTCAAACTTTGAACCAAAAACTGTAACTTTTTGAAAGCACATTTTATGCAACAAAAGCCCTTATGCAGATTACGGTTGTTCATTCTACACTTCTTTAGCAATTTCTGTAACTAAAAGCCATTCGACACTTAGAAGTAACAAGTTTAAAGACTGTTGTCAATTTTGTAATTTCCTATCAGAGACATATATACGTCTCTGTTCATATTAATTTAATTTCACACCTCTTGAGACTTACTCATACACCTATGTTCAAGATTTAGATAAACATTCACAGAGAAAAAACCTTAAAAGTAAATTGTAACTTACTTGTTTTATTTGTTCTGTTTAATTTGTAATGAACTATGAAAGTAAGAGAAAAAAAAACATTTATATATGATTTATTACAGAATTTTATATAATTTCCGATGACGTCAAAACATGGTTCCGGTCATTTCATCTTTTCCAATTCAAAGTATATTAATTACTTTACACTATTGCATAAAGTTATGTGTCTTTGCATTGTAGGTATGACATGTATTGGTATTGGACACTAAAACAGTAAATTCTTTCACCTGAACAAAACTTGCAGTGAAATGATAGTACGTCTTATGGACTTCAGTTATCATTGAAGCATTAATTGGTATTGGAACTAAAACAGTAAATTCTTTCACCTGAACAAAACTTGCAGTGAAATGATAGTACAGTCTTATGGACTTCAGTTATCATTGAAGGTTTAGCACGGCCAAAAATGATAATTGATTAATTAAAATATGAAAATCGACGCGTTACATTTGTGTGAATTTGTCCTACGTTTGAGCGAACAATCTTCCACATTTGTGCGAATTAATTAAATTTTCTAATAAAAAAATAGATAAATAAATAAAATACCGTCCACTGAAATAGAAAAGTGGTTTAAACGCAGCCAGGATTTGTGATTGCCAGCGGAGAAAGTTTAGGACAGTCTTGTAGATGTTTAATGTCACAAATGCCACAAATGCCACTGAGAATGAAAGCCGCAAATTATTTGCCAACTGTTTAGTTGAAAATTACGTCACAAGTGAGTCTATAATACCGTCAAAAATGTGTTCAACTGATCCAAATGAAAGCACAAAACGTACCCTGAACAATGGCCCAGAGTCAAAGACAGCAAGGACTATATTGTTCATTTCAAGATTACATAAATGTGTTTTATTCCAAACAAGATATGATTTTAATACATAGAATGTTACTTTCCAGTAAATACAAACTGCATTTTATCAAAAACTTTGCTATTTGACATACCTCTAGTGCTTTTTAGTATTTATATAAACGAAGAAAGACTTTTCTTTCATTATATAAATTATCTATAAATATAATCGATTTTAAACAAAGTTCAGGCTATGATCTGGATGAAAACACAGAAAAAAACTCGGATGATCGAATACGCACAAATTAACGTTATACATTTCAAAATTCAAATTCGCGCAAATGTAAGTCGTCCATGAAAATCATTTGTGAGCAAAATTTTCTACCAGACACCGAAATGATAATCAAATATCTTAAAATAAAACCATTATAAACATTATAGAATTTAATGCAATAGTAGCCATTTTATTGTATACAGGAAGTTTTACATGTAAATGATGTATACATTATAGTGCATGTTATTACAGTGCCACAGGCAAAGTACTGTACGCGTGGCTCAATCAAAAAAAAAAAAAAAAACATTTGACCTCAATGGAAAACCTTAATATTGTATCCTCAAAAGACTGTATATGTAGGAAAAATAAAGAAAAGTCAACAGAAAAGGCATTGCATGGTCAAATGCAATATGCAATGATAGTACCGTTGGTGGTTAATAGCCAATATGAAATATATTCTACTGTATTAGCAAGCCGACCAATGTTACATTTATCCATATATATACATATGTATTATTGAATCTGATTAAACAGACTTTTTTTTTGCATCGGTTTACCATTTTATTAAAGACTTTGCGAAACATCATGGGTGGCAATAATGTCACTGAATATATTCAGAACAATAACAAACCAAACAATAAATAAATAAGAAAGGTAGGTCGAACCAACAGGGTGAAGGCCTAAATTTTGACTTTCGTTAAAAAAGGAAGTTTATTAAGAAGAGATAGAATGTTTGACTTGCTGAAAAACAGGACATTGCATTTCAATTGGATCACCTTCCAACTGGGCGTGGCAGGGTATTTAACTATTTATACATCCCAACAGAAAACAACTTTCTCTAAACTTGAAAAAGGCTTATCTCTGCATTTCGCATCCAAGACTGAAATGCTTATAAATTAGTTAAAAGATATACAAGTATGTAGTTTTAATGTTTGATAGTTAATTTTTCCTACATCAAGTTTTCATATTTTTTTTTATCATAAATAATTATTTTTAACGGGCGAAACATTGATGACATTCGTAACCGATGTAAACTCTTACAGTGGTATGTTATATGGTCTCTCTGTAAGTTCGGTTCAGGTGAAAGAATTTAGACTACGTTTTAGTGTCAAATACCAACGCCATACCTATACATTGCAAAGACACATAACCTTATGCAATGTTATAAAGCAATTCACTTTTTACTGTGAAATAGATAACATGAAATGACCGGAACCATGTTTTTACGTCGTCGGAAATTATACAAAATCCTGTAATAAATCATATATAAATGTTTTGCTATCTTTCATAGTTCATTACAAATCAACCAGAAAAATCAGAAGTAAGTAAGTATTCGCTCTTTAGAATGTTTACTTGTGAATCTTTATAAAAAACGCTTCAATTATAGTTTATTACATTTATATACAGGTAAATCTCAAGAGTTTTGGAACTATATTAAAAGAACAGATCAGAACAATTACAAAAAAAAATTCACAACATACGATGTTTAGCCTCTTAACTGGTTATTTGTTAATGTAGAATGGTTAGTACAAAACTAGTAACAGAAGTATAGAAGAACAATATAATCTCCACCTGAGCATTTCCTGCATAGAACATATGCATTTTTATCACAGTTTGATTTTTTTGATTTAGTGAAAAGTGTATTTGGCCTGTACAAAACAAAACAATAATTAAAAAAGTAGAATGGGAAGAGAGTTTCTGCTGTGGAGTCAGCAAAAGGGCAGGTGAAACTGGTATACATACAATTGGGGACTCAAACAATTTAAGGAGCAGGAAAACCATTGGTGTATATTTTTGTTAGTACAAAAATACAAAAAGTTAGCTTGCTCTTCAAATTATCTGTTCTCACTATACTATGGTGGATTTAAAGTATTTTTAGTACAAATACATGTAGTGTAGAATTTAGTCTGATCAAAAAGACTTTTAGAAAGTTTTGATTGGAATGTTCTACGTTTTTTTTTAGCTTTCCAGATTTTTTGGTTGAACATACCAAATGACTTATCTAAACTTCCTAACGACAAGTGTTATATTTAGGGGCCAGCTGAAGCCCGCCTCCGGGTGCGGAATTTTCTCTCTGTGTAGAAAACCCATTGGTGGCCTTGGGCTGTTTTCTTTTCTTTGGTCGGGTTGTCGTCTCTTTGAAACATTTTCATCTAGTTATTGATTCAACATTTACACTTTCAGAGATGATGAGTTCAAGAATATTCTCTGTTATTGCTGTAATCGGCATGATTTTCGTATGCAGCATCAGAGCTGATGGCCTTTATGATAATTATTTGGGCAATGTTCATCTAGTACCTTTAGCATACCCAGTTCCACACCCTATCAGTGCTCCTCCTCAAGGACTCGGAAGTGTAGCAGGAAATCGGTTAAATTTACAATCAGACCAGTCTCTTCTAAGTAAGTATGTTTAACCATAGAAGTAATATTGAGTATAATATTTTAAGATGTCTTTCTAAAATGAGTACACATTTGGAATAATCCCCCCCCCCCCCCCGGATTATTACTTCGTGCGCGAAACTTGACATTTAATTTTACAAATCTATCTAGTAATGAATAAAATTACTAAATATATTCTCGTTTCTTTTAGGGCCACATATTCACAAATCTAACACAGACTTTGATTTATGTACTTCAGACTTTTTAATTGATGAATTCTAAAAAAAATTAAAAAGGATTTTTTTTAATCTCCAGAATTTATACGAAGATACGTATACAGATGAGCAACAACAACATATGTGCTTTACTGTGATACATTATTTCCCATACATTGTTTTTATATAGGCTTTGTCATTTATACATACTAATCCTGTAGCTTTTATTTATTAATTGAATTAAACATTTTATTTTCTGTTGCAGTTTTCCTATTTTTGTTACCAGTTCTCTTCAGAATTCTCAACAACGACTCATCATAATGGACGAACGGCTCGGATCGTCCTAAATGACATTTTAACAGCAAATCAATTCTTTGGATCAAAGTTTGTGGCAGATATGATAATCTGAGTAGAATTGTTATACTGGTTTCCTGATTTTTCTGATTTAGTGAAGAAACATTATAGAGGTTACCAGGTTGTTGTGATTTTGTAGATTGAAGGAGCTGCAGTGAGTGATTGACATGGTAGTTAGTATAAGTGACAAAATGGTTTCTGAAGTGTAAAAAAAGAAGCAGCAGTATAGGTAGTGAGATTGACATTACAACTTAGTCAAGCAAAGTCATATCTTAAATAATAAATGCTGATTTACCAAAATTGTATTCTATATTATTACTCATTTAGTATTTATTCATAACAAGAGTGCTGCTTTCTGATAACGATTGAGTTATATGTTGGAAGTCTTTAATATCAATATGTTCTACTACATATATCACTATCTATTTTTACATGATATGAGGTCAATGTCACTTGAGCCATGCCAGATGAAAATGTACACCTTACAATAATTCCATTACTTAACGTTGATCACTGACCCATGAAATAAGGTCAAGGTCAGATGAACTCTTCCTGACTGACATGTAAACCTTACAATCATTCAATACACAAAATATAGTTGTTCGGTTACTTTTTTGTATGAAAAGTTAACATTGAACAATGATCCATGAAATGAGGTCAAGGTCAGATGAACCCTACCGGACAAACTTTTACACCTTACAATAATTTCATTGACCAAATACCGTTGACCTATTGCTTATAGTATCTGGGAAATGGCCTGAATTACGAGAACATTACTTTAACAAATGAACCATATAAATGAGGTCAAGGTTAGATGAACTCTTATAACGGGAAAGTTCACCTAAAAATCTTTCCATTCACTAAATATAGTTGATCAATTTCTTATAGTATCTGGGAAAAGGAACAAATCATGAAAACATAACGTTGACCAATGAACCATGAAAATAAGGTCAGTCATATGCCCTGAAGAACTTGTACATCTTACAATAGTTCTATACCCAAATATAATTGGGTGAAGGGGACCTTATCAGGGAAATTTAATATAAACCAATTTACCATGAAAAAGGGTCAAGGTCAAACGAACTTTGCCAGACGGACATGTACATCTAATAATCATTCCATATACCAAATAAACGACCTATTACTTGAAGAACCTGAGAAACAGTCCTTATCCTGAAAACGTAGGATTAACCAATGATCTTTAACTAGAGGCTCTAAAGAGCCTGTGTCGCTCACCTTGGTCTATGTGCATATTCAACAAAGGACACTCTCCAAAATTGCAGACGAGAATATAATTCAAGACAAAAATCTTGTGTTTTGTTGATCTTGGGAAACACTGTTGAACGTTTATTTATATATATTTATATAATGTGTGTAGTTCATGATGTTCAAACTGCTTTTTCTTTTCTTTGTATGTGTACTAGACTATTGTTGTTTCTTTTTGTTATTGTCTTATTAATGTCTTATATTGTAGTATGCTCCTTGTGAGCCCATTTAATGGAAATAAAACACCTTCTTAATCTGTATTGCTGATCAGAAGATAAAAAAAAATAAACAGATCAGATTTAGTGTTTATTTTTTTTTTATCTTTTTCAGTTTTTGCTTAAAACACAAAAATCACTCCTATAAAGAGCTGAGACTACTATAACAGTAAAGAGTAACAGTCTTCTAACTATTTCGGCAAAATTTGACTTGTTACGGAACAACCATTTAACTTTTAGGAAGGGGGGGGTTATTGTCTTTTCCTTAAAAAAATATTTTGATCCCCAATTTGATAAAAAATAAATATTCTGAATCCAGATTTTCCCCATACCTTATTGTGTTAAATTTTGAATAAAAAAATTTGATTGATAGCATCGAAAAAAAAATTTCTGACTCAGACAAAATTCCATAACCCCCTCTTGAAGTCAAATGGTTGCTCCCTTAGTAGATATTGCCTTGCTGATCATTATTGTGATTTAAAATGTCTATTTATGTATTATAATCTTTATTGTGTAACACAAAACGCCAAAAAAAAAAAAGGTAAAAATTCGTCATTAAAAGGCAATAACTGCAATCAGGAGTTGTCAGACGATTTCCTCCATATTGTCTTTAATTGTTAATTTTGTCTTGCTGATCATTTTTCCTTATGTAAGTTTCTATCTTACTATTGTAATTATTAAGATATAAGGCAAAAACGCAAAAAAAATTGGTAAAAATCGTCATCAAAGGGCTATAACTCTAATAAGGAGTTGACTGATGATTTCGACCATTTGACTTATTTGTAGAACTTGTCTTGCTGATCTTTTTGAAATTTTTATTATAGTTTTCAAGATAATATGCAGAAATGAAAAAAAAAAATAGTAACATTTGTCATTTAAGGGCAATTACTCCTATAAGAAGTCGTCTGACAATTTTGATGTAGACAATTGGTATGGCTCAACATTCTGAACATTTCTGCCACTGTCAGATTTTCTCTATTTATAACGGTTTTCAAAATAATAGACAAAACTTGCATTTTACCCCTATGTTCAATTTTTAGCCATGTCTGCCATCTTGGTTGGCAGGGCGGGATCATAGGACATATTTTTAAACTAGACACCCAAATGATGATTGTGACCAAGTTTGGTTAAATTTGGCCCAGTAATTTCAGAGAAGATTTTTGTAAAAGTTAGCAGACGACGACGGACGATTGACGCCAAGTGATGAGAAAAGCTCACATGGCCCTGTGGGCCAGGTGAGCTAAAAATGAGGTCAGTCAGATGATCTCTGCAGGATGAACATTAACACCTTAGAATCATTCCATACACCATAAAAAGACCTAGTGCTCACCAAAACTTAATGTTGACCAATGAACCATGAAAATGAGGTCAAGGTCAGATCATCCTTGCCAGAGGATATATATGTTAACCTAACAATTATACCATATACATGTAGAACACATATTTGACCTATGCTTATAGTAAAGTACACCATACCACAATTGGTCAAAGTCAGGTGAACCCAGTCTGATGGACATGAAAACTTTGTGAAGATTCTATATACCAAATATAGCTGTTCTATAAAAACTGAAATACAACTATAGTTTTTTAAGCAGTTGCTGAACAGTGAAAATGAAGTAAAGGACAATGGACATATGTTAGATGGAAACTTCAGAACATTAGGAATCTGTATACAAGATATGAAGTATCCATTTTTTTTTTGCATCGGAAATAAACACATTTATTCTAAAACCAGTTGTTAGCATGATACGGGTTATGTTCTTCTCATATATTTTATGATGGTATGATACTAAACCCTTAATGGGAGGGATTGTGCTTGATTTTCATATGATGAAGACATAATCTTTCAATCAGTTTAATTGAGGTCTGGAGCTGGCATGTCAGAAACAGCAAGTAGTCCTTTGTTAATTTATGTATCATTGTCATTTTGCTTAGTTTCTTTTGTTACCTATTCTGACATCAGACTTGGACTTCTTTTAAACTGAGTTTTACTGTTCGTATTGCTGTGTGTTTGTTTATTCTACATTAGCTAGAGGTATAGGGGAGGGTTGAGATCTCTCAAAACATGTTTAACCCCGCCACATTTTGGCGCCTGTCCCAAGTCAGGAGCTCTGGCCTTTTGTTAGTCTTGTATGTTTTTTTAATTTTAGTTCATTTATATGTTTTGGAGTTTAGTGTGACATCCATTTTCATTGAACTAGTACACATTTTTGTTTAGGGGGGCAGGATTTTCTCGCTGTGTTGAAGACCCATTGGTGGCCCTCAGCTGTTTTCGGCTCCTTGGTTGGGTTGTTGTCTCTTTGACACATTCCCCATTTCTATTCTCAATTTTATTATACCTTCTGAAATATAAGGCTTTATACAAACAGTTTATAATGTCTTTGCTGCTGGGTTAGCATTCTAGCATTCTGTGTGACTTTTATTTAGTGCAGGTGACAAAAAATTCAATAAAGTTGGTTGTAAAACCGAAATCTAGCAGTTAAGATCTGCTGAAGTGCATGTTTGGTTGTTCCAAGAATAAACATACAAACACCCAGTCACGTCATGTCTAATTTTGTACGTTTATCCTTATTTAAAAAAAAAAACACAAGCAACAAGTCCGTGTAGGGTTTGCAGGTGATGTGTTATATGAACAAATATCTGAACAGTATACCAAAACTAGTTTCAATATTTATTTGTTCTCTTTGTACACATATAGTATAAGGCAGAGGGTACATAATTAGACAGTATTTGTGATTTTTGTAAAATTTTGAATGCATTTAGAACAGGTTGAATTTCATCTGAATGTCAACAAAAGGATATACCAAGCATTTATACTTCAAGGAAAACACTCAATTAGAAATGTGTGAAATAAATTTTTAAATGCATAGAATGCACATAATAGGAAATAATGTCAAATTGACAGCAAACTGGAACTTCTGTATTTTGAAGGTAACTATTGTTGAACTTAAGAGGGCAGCTAGTAGGAATGAAACTGACGAATTTTAATATATGGTGCTTTCAGACTTGCTTGACCTGCCACGTTCTGTGCCTGATTTCAAATTTACCAAGGATCATATGTCCTGAACGGTAATAGGGATAATAGTAAATATGAAACTTGCACTACATTTTTACACTAGTAACAACTTATTAAAATTTGAAACACAGTGGCTGAACAGTTCACAAGTTATTGTATGGAAACAGCATAAAGTGCCATTTTCCAATCTATCAAGGACAATAACTCCTGAATGGCAAAAGTGAAAATCGTCAATATTTTGCATTAATTCCTTCAATTTCCCATAAAATATCTATTTTATATATACACACACTGTTTTAGTATACAATACTCTGTATTTATGCATCTGTATATTTGGGTTCGTTTATACTCCAATAATATAAATGACATGCACAAGTATTGCTTAAGGAAATTCCAACATTATTGCATATAAATTATAAACCCGTTATAATAAAAAAATATAAACAAAACTTGCTGTCTATTTATTCTGATTAATTGACTGATAATAATTTTCCAACATCATCACTAATATACATAATAAAGAAATCGAGTCAGATGTAGGATAAGAAGGTTGGTTGTATAACCAAATATATAGCAGGTTCAATTTTTGCTTATTACAGTATTATGTGTTTCCTTGTGGAATATTATTGGTTGTTTTCTCCTCTTCAGACTGGACATCACAGTTGGAGCCAACAGAAGACTTATATTTTTTCAGAACTTTATCAAGTCTTGTTACAAATGTATCTACATCATTTCTGGTCATACCAATGGAGGCTGCAGCAGTTAGGTATGGGCAATTATATTTATCACAATGAGCTCCAAAGTTTGTTATTTTAAGTCCATTAATTGTTGAGTCTGTAGAAGAATTGCTAATAACTCTGAAAAATATAATAAGAAAGATAAAGTTACAGTATCGTCATAATTAAGAATAACTGTGATTTAATCATTAATCGTAGGATACCAATTTTCGTGGATGTCATGGGTATAGTTAAACCAGGAATTTAAATGTTGAAGGAAGTACACATTTTCTAAATGCTTGTATACAGACTTTCGTAAATCCACAAAATCAAATATTAAAAAAAATACAAGTTTCCTCAATCCACAATACACTGTAGGTTATGCCCTTGTCAATGATAACAACAATGTTGGGGGAAGTGGAATCTAATTGACTCACATTTTTATCAATTACTGATTTATGTAATGAGTAAGCATATCTATTAATTAGTAAGTTAAACTCTTTTCCTAGAATGTGACCTACCAAATTAGCCTCGTTGCCAGCTTTGTACTTAAATGAGCAACACGACAGGTGCCACATGTGGAGCAGGATCTGCTTACCCTTCCAGAGTACCTGAGATCACCCCAAGTTTTTGGTGAGGTTCGTGTTGCTCAGTCTTTAGTTTTCTATATTGTGTTTTGTGTACTGTTGTTTTTCTTTTCATCGTTTTTCATATTTTACCGTGGCATTTTGAGTTTGTTTTTGACTTATGAGTTTGAATATTCCTTTGATATCTTTTGCCTCTCTTTTATAGAGTATGAAAGGTATTATAATCAATAGCCACAAGTGTTGTACAAACTCAAAATATGGAAAAATACCTGGTTTTATTTGAGAACAAGTAAAAACTATCTTGGTTATTTTATAAAATGCTGAAAATTGACAGGAGCTAGCACAAACATTTAACACAGAAGTAATTAAATTTAAGGTCAAGGATCAGTAAATGACCAGTCCATAGATTTTTTTTAAATTTCGAATTCAATTAGATATTGAAAATATACATCAGAAAATCAAAAAAAAAAGTATATGTCACCGACTTCGTTTTCGAGAAAAAGCCATTTTTAAAATGGTCCGAGAGGGTACTAAATTACATTGAATATATAGGGAAAATCCTTATTTTTCTTCTACACTTTTCGGTTTCCTGTATAAATCACGAGATTCACTACATAATTTTTTTTTAAAAATGATGATTTCTTCCTCTATGTCTAACAAATAAGATGATGTGAAAAAAAAATATGGTCACCGACTTCGTTTTCCCTCTAAAAACCACGCAACCTCAACATTTTGTGAAAAAAAACATCAAAAATCGTGACGTCTTCATTTTTATTACATAACGTCAAGTTATCATGGTATGAATTTTCAACGTTCTTAATTGGTGTTGATTATGCATGATGATTATGTGTTTTGTATTGATAGGTTCTTTTTATCATAAGGGTCTGGATAGAGGGTCCTTCATTTATTAATTTTTATTTTGTATTACCAGTATTGTATTCTTTATTCTTTATATTTTAGCACCTCATCATTCTCTATTCTTTTTTTTTTTTTTTTTTTTGCCTTTTATTCTGTATTCCGTAAACCCCAGTCAGACCCTCTTTTATGGACACGTATTTCAAATTAAGTTATAACAATTGTAAAAAATATGATATGTTCATTATCAACAAGAAATGATTGTAACAGGATGCTGTTACGAAGTCTCCCAAACGAAGCTCCCATAATTCGTAATTCCCAGGGTTGTCTGACATTGGGCAAAGTCCAGTGAAAATTGGTTTGGTAAAGTTATATGCATTAGTGATGCCTGGGGACAAACCCTGTATATCATTCAAATCATCTTGGCATGACAAACCAGAATATATATGGTTTAGGGGAGGGGATCTCGACCACTTACAAGATACTAGAACATTGGGGGTGGGGGGAACCCCTGGGGACTGACCCTATACGTCATTCAAATGTTCGAGACATGACGAACAGGAATATATATGGTTTAGGGGTGGGGATCTCGACCATTTACAAGATATAAGAACATTGGGGATGGGGGGGAACCCCTGGGGACTGACCCTATACGTCATTCAAATGTTCGAGACATGACGAACAGGAATATATATGGTTTAGGGGTGGGGATCTCGACGATTTACAAGATATTAAAACTTTCTCAAATGGCAGGGGTGGGGGATGACCCCTGGGGACTAACCCTGTAAATCATTCAAACCATCTTTGCATGACAAACCAGAATATATATGGTTTAGGGGTGGGGATCTTGACCACTTACAAGATATTAGGTTTTTCTTAAATGGCAGGGGGTGGGGATGACCCCTGGGGACTAACCCTGTATATCATTCAAACCATCTTTGCATGACAAACCAGAATATATATGGTTTAGGGGTGGGGATCTTGACCACTTACAAGATATTAGGTTTTTCTTAAATGGCAGGGGGTGGGGGTGACCCCTTGGGACTAACCCTGTATTTCATTTGATTTGCTTTATGATGACAAACCAGAATATATATGGTTTAGGGGTGGGGATCTCGACCATTTACAAGATATTAGAACTTTCTCAAATGCCAGGGGGTCAGGATGACCCCTGGGGACTAACCCTGTATATCATTCAAACTATCTTAGCATGACAAACCCGAATATATATGGTTTAGGGGCGGGGATCTTTACCACTTACAAGATATTAGAACTTTCTTAAATGGCAGGGGGTGGGGGTGACCCCTGTGGACTAACCCTGTATATCATTCAAACCATCTTTGCATGACAAACCAGAATATATATGGTTTAGGGGTGGGGATCTTGACCACTTACAAGATATTAGGTTTTTCTTAAATGGCAGGGGGTGGGGGTGACCCCTGGGGACTAACCCTGTACTTTATTTAATGTGCTTTATCATTTAGAACATTTTCAATTAAAAAGATTGTGTCTATCACAAACGGTTTTCAATTTATAATCATTTGAAAATTTTAAAAAATAAAATCCCATAGGGTTCTTTAGTAAAACCCTCCTTTCTTTTCGCCCCTCAAAGTACCCCTTTATAAACCCTATTGCACAAACAAAACCCTGATTGCACCACTAGACATGTTAGTCTATCATATTGTGAAACCCTAAGTTAATCTGACTAGCGGTTTTGGAGAACGGGTGCGGACAAGTTCATATTTAAAAGCGGCGGAAGAGGAAGAGGAAGAAGAATAATAATAATAATAAGAACTGAGCAAAAACAATAAGTCTTCCCAAACTTCATTTGGGAGACTTAATAAACATGTTTAAAACAATTACTAATTCAGACGAAAATATTTTGTAAGTACATGAACGCAAAAATAGTAATAACATAAAAGAAGAAATCATCCCAATGTCTTGACTCAAAAAAAGATGTAATATAATTATTTTATCTTTTGTGACTCTGGCTTTTCCAAAAAAAAAAGTTCCGATAGGAGATTGACAACACCATCAGACCCCTCACGTTCATAAGACTGTGAAACATATTCCACAGAGAATGAGTGTGGTGCAACTTTCTCAGTGGGAAGCGACACATGTTCTACTAGTTGTTTGAACATTTCCTACGGCATTATGTGCGTCGTATTTGACACCAAAAATTGTCAAATACTAGGCTCTCCTGGTTATAACCTTTACCCGTTTGTTTCCTCTCTGGTAGCATAGTTTTCAGCAAAGATAGCGAGTCAACAAAACACTTATATTTTTGTTCAAAACTATCAAAGAAAGAATTATTCTCCATGGAATAAACTAAAACTCTCGAATAAAAAAGCTTTGCATTGTGTCAGGTAACCAATTTATAAAATCTCTTAGACTATCTTGCAGGTCATCTGTTTACATTATTTCTCCGTTCCGATATAAGATTTCGCCACTTTTTGAAAAACCGGTAACTTTACCAGCGGAACATTTGATAGCTTGTTTTGGTACTATATAACGACAGAAAGTGTTCTGCTCATATGCTGCTGCAATTTGTATTATGTCTGTGCAGTCTTCTGTTTTTATAAAGATTATACAATTGTTTAATAGAATTTTACATCACATCTATCAACAAACATTATATCAATGATTCTACAAATTCTTGAAAGAGTGTCGTGTGGTTATTAATACATCTGCAAGTTAACAAGTAAAACACGCATACAAACTGACATCTTTGATAGTTTCTTTTCGTTCGGTATAGTAATAACATGAAACTATATTAAACTAAGGCTTTGATCAATGTAAACTTCAATAAAAATGGAAGATACATTAGGAACGGGAAGATAAGAATATATTGCATCAAATACAACACCCTCTGCATAATTTGACTAGTGATTTGATTGTTTATTGTTTATTACCAACAACACCGAGATAATACAATGATTAATTAAAGGGTTTATATGAAGTGTGTCCTTAACTTCTGTATTCTTTAATTTTAATGGGAAATTTCTTTAATTTTGAATATAACGCTTATTCTGTAAAATCCTCAATTATTATAAATGATTTTATTGTAAAATTCTTCTAATATTACATGAATGCTTTATTCTGTACATGGTTCATGTCTTTAATCACTACACTTGTATTAACTTATTATTTTATTTTCAATTGTTATTCTTTATACTTTTGCGAACCATTATTCTCTATCTTTTTTTTTTTTTTTTTTTTTTTTGGCTCTTTTTTCTCTATTCAATTTTTGTATTCGCCATTATCTTTTATTCTACAAACCGCTTTTAAATCTTATTATATGTGACAATAAATTAATGTGCATCAGAGAGCAACTGTATTTGACACTAATAAATATAAAAACAAGGTGATGTGGTCTGATTGCAAATGAATCAACTATCCACCAAAGTGCACATAAGGTGGATATAAGCAATTACAGACTATCGTACGGACTTAAAAAAGACAAAAAAACCTATGTCGTTTAGTCGGCTATAAAAAGCCCAGATTTGAAAAATGTGAATAAATTCAAACAAGAAAACTAACGGCCTTATTTTTAACAAAACAATTTATATTAATGAAGCTCTTGAAAAGGGTATCAACCCTAAAAAAAAAAAAAAAAAAAGCAATCACAGACTGAAACATGACTGAAAATTTGGTCTTTAACTTGTTAAATTCAATCTGCACAAATGCACAACATCAGATGTCTTTTCCTTTTCCATTTTTTTGTGGCCTGGTGTTGTTGTCTGGTTGCTGTCTTACTGAAGTACTGATACATACACTTGTATATATTAGTAGTATAATATCGACATGATCGACAGAATCTCGTTCTTGACCTTCAAGTTGTATGAGTGAAATAGAATTGAGAACAGTTTTTTTCTATATTTGAGATGCAACTTTCAGGCTACAAATTTTTATTTGTTTCCAGTTATTTTTTTAACCATTGATATATCAATTACCTTGAGGAAATAACAATACTAATCAATTTTAAGAAAATTCTTTAAGGATCCACTGGATGTTCTTTTATTAGGAAAATATACCATGTATAACTCTTCAAACCATATACTATTTATACATGTATCTATTTAAGGATTTGTGTTCTTTTTTTAGCTTCGAAACTTTCCACAAAATTGCGAAAGTGAAAGAAAACACCATTTCAAAAAATCGTTAGAAAACAAACTGTAGCGATGAATCTCTATAACTTTTTGTTTATCATTTATGTGTTATAGTCTTAAAAATTGTGATGTATAAATATTAAATGATTGTTGCAATTGTGAAGAAGGTTGGTGTTAATTTAAAATCGTTTTGTGTCATCTGTTTCAAGACTGACTGACGCAGCTGAGAATTTTATGTGGTTCATTCCCTTTTCTTGAATTAGGAAATATTTTTACTTGTTCCGACTGATAAGTAGGTAATTTTCAAAATAGGGGATATCTTACCAAGACTAAAAGTTTAGTATTAATGTCCCAACTTGCATCCCCTTCTTCTTATTTCCTGCGGGACGATGTCTTTTCCCAGTGAATATAGGGTTTCTGTAGGGACGTTTTTAATATACTACATATAGAATACTTCCGAGACCACACTGTTTTTCTTTATCACAATTATGTAGAAATAGTGGTGAGCTACAGTTTTTACACTGTTTTAACTGGTCGGCGAGATATCCAAGCTCTAACGTTACCACCCTACCTCCCCGACGCAAGTCAAGTTCCCTATTTTCATTTTGAAGATAGTTTTCATGACTATTTTCATATTAATTTTCAAAATTCTGTAGCATTTCTTCACCTTCAATTTTAGCAAACAAGTTCATTTTCCTAGAAGTAACATACTTTCCATCAAATTTAACATTGTCTCGTTGGAAAGTCGCCGGTTGCAACATTGCTAAATCTGGTCAATGGGACGTAACTCGTACAAAACGTCATAAAATTTCGCGGAATCCGCTAGATGGCGTTCATTTACTGTAACTTGACCTTAAGTAAAACAAGAAATGTTCCAGATATATTTTTTAAATTTTACCTCAAAACTGGTAATTTAGTTTATAGAGGCTATACTCTTTTTCTAGGAATAATGCTCATATTTGGCACCAAATAAAGGGCAATTAAAACCCTGCAAAGTGCATTGAGGATTTATTGTTTTTTTTTCAAAATTACTTAAGATTTCTTCACAGTATGGACAAAGACTTAAATGTTTTTTTTATATAGCTATTAAAATTGGAAATGAGAGACTCCAAGTAGTCTATATCCCTCCCCTGACAATTTTTTCTAGACTGACACCCTGAATCAGGTTTTAAACAAAGGTAGTTCACAAGGTAACAGTCCGCAACAAGACATATCATCCTACCTGGACACATTATTCTGACTACAAGCCGACCAGTCTTTGCTATTACTTCTAAATATTACATGCTTAGTGAAAATAGTAACAAATACCAATTTTCAAGTCTTTGGTATGACTTGGGCAGAGCTCCAGCACTCAAGGCGACCATCTAATAATAAGTTCTTCCGTTAATTTTTATTTATACATTCAAACAAAACAAACATAACCAAATTTTTGTGAAGAGTTGTCTCATTGGCAATCATAAAACATCTTCTTATTTTTATATATAACCATATACATGTATCCAATCTGTCATAAATATTAAATTTAGATATTTTTGTAGGTACTGCAAGTTTTCATTCAAGATAATTGGTTTAGTTTACTTTGGTTGGCATTCAGGTGAACATTTGGACAATGTCTATAAATGCCCAACTTACCTAGTCCCAGATACGAATCTTGTAAATAACATGGACCCTATTTCTGTGACATCTTTATCTTCTTTAACAATTATTGATGACAAACTCATTCCTGTAAAATATGAAAATTCACTGATTATATTTTGAGAGTTCCAGGAATAGTTTTATTAACTGGCTGTTTCTTTTCTGTATTGACCATGATATAGATTCAAGGGTAACATGTATTGGCCCTGAGACCCAAACGGTCCACTGACACTAGGCAGAGAAAGGGAGCCCACTTCTTCGAGGGTTGTGAAAATATAATATGGAAAGCCTTACCACTTCAGTAGGTAAATTTGCTGTCCATGCAGAATCTCCTTGTTTGCTCAGTGCCAGTCTTTGCTCCTTTGTGTTCCATTCTACTCCAATTGAGTTCTATATATTATTGAACATGTTTGTCTTCAATGTATATTAAATTTGTATTCTGAACCTTAAGTAACAACCAATCTATAAATAAATCACTTATGTTTGACAAATTAAGATTTTTTTCAATACAATCTGAATAATTAGAGAGAATTACCAGCCATTTAGTATACAACAATACAAAACAAATGTCACTACTAATTCTTGAAATAAAATATGCTTGTAGAAAAAATTATTTCATTTTATAACTCCATTTTTTTTTAAAGAAAAAATCATCTTACCCATTGAAATTGCATTATGATGAGTTTTAAGAAGTCTCTCTCCATGTTTAGATGCTACTTCAGACAACTTTGATGCCAAATATTGGTAGTTTTCTTTCCTCTCCTTCAGTAATTCTTTGTATTTCTGACTGCCCATACTCAACAAGGTTATAAACAAGTCCATAGTTGGTGTTGCTGATGCTCTACCTATTTAATGTAGGCATAAACCTTTCAGGGGGTACCAGAATATCACTTAAAACAGAACTGCAACTTTAAATTTAATAAAATTGTAAGACATGAAGTGTTTATCATAAAATTGTATTGGAATACTGTATGATCTGCCTTAAATTTACACAATTTTAGAACAGAAGAATGCTTACAGATACTGACTGCACTTTGGATCATTTTGAAAAGTGTTTGAAAGGAGTAGGGGCAATAAGGCCCTTATTTGGCCCAAATATTACTGCAAATTTAAAAGTTATCATACATATTCTGAAATTTGTCATAAGGTAAGGTACCAGGTATTCAGAAAATAAAAACAAAGTTCAGGTTTAACGAGTTACCATGGCAACAAACCATGACGAAATTTGTATATTTTGTAAAATTTCTTGATTTTCCTTGTTTTTCATCCAATTTTAAGTATATTTTAGATTGGCAAAGTATGTGCGTACACAAGAAACAACTTTATATTTGGTGAGATTATGTCAATAGTTATAATAAAGCTTCTCTTAAATTATATTGTTGTTTCTTGGCTGCGCATGATGTTTCCGCAATGGAAATAAAGATGGAAACTGCATAAATTCTGTATTTTTCATCGTTTTCATGAAAACGGTACATATTATGACGTAATTGTGACGTCATCAGATAAAAATTCTTATGTTTTTCATATATATTTCCTGACTCTATGCATTTCTAAACAATATGTGCAAATTTGAAATAGTTGTCAAATATTTTATTTTCTTGGGCCAAAACCGGGCCTTAATGCCCCTACTCCTTTATAGATATCCCCTATAAGTCAAAAAATGCCTACCTGGATAAGCTTTACTGATACTTTCTATCAATTTAGCATCAAACCCTGCTATAATTGATCCTCCAACTGGAACCATGAAATTTTTATCTGTGCTCTGAACAAAAGCATCAACTCTACCTTTTCTACTTGCCTTAAAAAGGAAGAAAAACTTAAATAAGGAAAATGTGAATCAAACTGTTGCTCTGACTGGTGCAGTATAGTGTATTTTGGCATATCAGGCTTTACAGTTATACTGTTTTTTACTGAACCTTAAATTTGACATACTGGTACATTTTTCATTTACTGTGAATTCATTATTATATGTGGAATACCAATTTTGGTGGATTTCGTGGGTTCAGGATAACCCCTTACTTAAATGTTCAACAAAGTACAAATTTTCTATAGATTGTATGCAGACTTTAGCAAAACCATGAAATCCCATATCCATGAAAATACAATTGTATCTTAATCCACGAACATCTGTACCCACAAAAATACAATTGTATCTTAATCCACGAACATTGGTAACCACAAAAATACAATTGTATCTTAATCCATGAACAAAGGTACACACAAAAATACAATTGTATCTTAATCCACGAACATTGGTACCCACAAAAATACAATTGTATCTTAATCCAAGAACATTGGCACCCACAAAAATACAATTGTACCTTAATCCACGAACATTGGTACCCACAAAAATAAATGAATCCACAGTACCTGGAAATTTTGTAACTTAATGTTTTGTTTTTTTGAATAAGAATGAAAGATATAATCAAAGCCTATGGTCAAAATTATTAAAGTAACTGTATATAATTCTATTGTATTTCCTTGCGTCTAAATCATTCTTTAGGTTATTACACCATTTACAAAGTTTGACTTGACATATTCAAATTTATCTAAAAGTTATCTTATCTGTTTCTTTAACATACTTATAAGAAAGAGTAGTTCAAATAACACGCCAACAATTCTATGATTCTATGATTCTGTGAATAAGTTGTCTATTACGGGAGTAATGTATCTTCCTTTGTTGGACTATTGGGGCATCGGACTAATGGGGTGTCGGATCAATGTGGAATCGGACTAATGGGGTGTCTGACCAATGGGGCGTCTAACTAGCGGGGTGTCAGAATATCGGGGCGACCCCGTTTTAACATAGTGTAAACATATTCTTACTTGTTGTATAAGATGTGTACACTTTGTACATTGTAAACCATAAGCATTGTTTATAAGATGTGGAACGTCAAATTTCTTACAAATCTCTGATATTTCTTCTAATCTGAAAACAGATAAAAAAGCACATGTATTGAAAAATCCAATTTGATACTTACAGTAAGTGACCAGGTATATTAAATATTAATTATGTCCATCTATCTGATGTTATATCTTTATTAAATCAAGATTTTTAGTCAATACCTAAGTATGAATCTAACAAACTTAAAACAAAAGAAAGCCGTATGAACCACTTTTTACATAGGCTTAGATTTATCTTTACTTTTTACTTTTTTACAATTTGTTCTGCCCTTTTCATTGGTTGCAGATTTACAATGGAAGGAAAAGCAGGTACCTACCCCTTACATAAACACTTTTAATGTGCATTGATATTTTAGTTTTAAATAAATGATTTAATTATTAGCTGTAATTGGCTAAGAACTAGCTTTCAGAATCTGTGAGTACTGTCAGATCTATACTTTGCGTCTTTTGTATTTTTGTTGTTTTTTTGTTTTTTTTGGTTTTGTATTTATCTGATCAGTTAAGCCCTATTCATTGAATTTTTATATTTTGTTCTTATATATTGTGTGTTTAGGGGAGGGTTAGTGCGCCTTCAAACATATTTAGCTCATCCACATTCTGTATGTGCCTGTCCCATGTCAGGAGCCTGTAATTCATTCATTGTATTTTGTTGTTGTATATCATATTTCTTTTTTGTTTATTGTTTTGTACATTAATCAGGCCATTAGTTTTCTCGTTTGAATTGTTTTACATTTGTCCTTTCATGCGCTCTTATAGCTCGCTATGGGGTATACATTTTGCTCATTGTTAAAGGCCATACACTGAACTAAAAATGCTTACCTTCTCCGATATTTGGTCTCTGGTGGAGATTTGTCTCATTAGCAATCATACCACATCTTCTTATTTTTATATGTTCTTCGTATAAGTGATGATAATTAAAAATAACATAAAATTTAACTTGTAAGAATTAAATTGAGAAATGTTTCTGCCATCATTTTACCAATCTGAAACAAAATTGTATAATTTCATTCTGCTACGCTTTTCAGAGAGGCCTCTTTAAGCCCATCAAATTATGGAACCCTGTGTATTGCCTGTGATTGCTGCTATCAGTGTAAAAGTGTAATGTTGATTGCCAATAATTATAGAATAACTAATCGAAGAATTCAAATAGAGAAAAATAATCAACGAGTGACCGAACAACACATTAATTCACGAATGCGCGTAGCGCATGAGTTAATTATCAATGTTGTTCGGTCACGAGTTGAATATTTTTCGATATTTGAATTCTTTGATTAGTTATTCTTTTTATTACATTGGCAAATGGCTTTTTTTAATGAAATTAATGTAGAAAATGTAAGGAACTATATCTTTTTTCTACGCATTCATAATTTGTTTTGATCCGACGTTATCGACGTCCTGACAACGCCTATTGTTGTATGACGTCAGAGAGTGAAATAACCACGTTTATTTCACATGTGAAATTATCGGTTTTTATTTGACTGGGAAATCAATATAATTCATTGCTACCAATGTAATAATTATAGAATAACTAATCGAAGAATTCAAATAGAGAAAAATAATCAACGAGTGACCGAACAACACATTAATTCACGAATGCGCGTAGCGCATGAGTTAATTATCAATGTTGTTCGGTCACGAGTTGAATATTTTTCGATATTTGAATTCTTTGATTAGTTATTCTTTTTATTACATTGGCAAATGGCTTTTTTTAATGAAATTAATGTAGAAAATGTAAGGAACTATATCTTTTTTCTACGCATTCATAATTTGTTTTGATCCGACGTTATCGACGTCCTGACAACGCCTATTGTTGTATGACGTCAGAGAGTGAAATAACCATAAAGGTTTAACAAAGTTACTTATATCTAAAAAATATAATCTCATGTAAATGATAACTGTTAACTAAGTAATAAAAAATATTTCTATAATTTTGCTGTGGATACTATCTCTTGATCATAAAAAAACTTCTATCCAAGTTTCATCATAAAATTCCATGGAGATTGTACAAAGTAATTGATGTTTGAAAAACTTTATCCTTAGACTGTATCTTAATAATAACTGCAAATAAAACTAAGAGAAATTTGTTTTCAACATTTTACTTCGGATACTATCTTTTGATCTACAGAATGTATGATTGCTTAATGTACCTTTCTTAAAATTTCTTAGGCCAGGTAAGGCCTTAAATTCCTTAACTGCCGACAAAAGCTGTAGGAACAGTTATTCAAATTTTTATTCTTCTTTACCAAACTTTAAGGTAAGGTATGTTTAGAACAACTAAATTCATTTTCTTTTGAATTTAATGTATATATAAGTGAAGACATTTTAAAGAAAATGGATTACAGGACTATTTAAATACTATATAAAACTGATGTCTAAATACTACATAAAACTGATGTCTAAATACTTTTTAAAAGAATCATTTTCATGTTAATTAGCAACAAATACTTATTGTAATCCCACATTTAGACCCACCTATCAGGAACCCTTGGAGCAAAACAGCTGGTAGTTGTCATAACACATAAAATATTGTCTGGATCTAATTCTTCTATTTTTTCTATGACTGCTGTCAGGTTGGTTCTCAATTCATCCCCTTCTATGCAATTCTCTATCACTACAGGCTCAAACCCTGTCAACATCAAATTTTATGTACTAAGATAATACCATTATATGGCTAAAATCATTTCTAGGATATTTACTGGAAGCACTTATCGAAATGTCATACAGTTACAAGGAAATATTTGAAAAAAACTTCCCTTCATCATTGTAACTTCTCAGAAAAATAACAAATAATTTGACATCATTCAATCTTTATAAACTAAAAAAAGAGATGGTATTATCAAAATCTTCTTCCATGTACTGCCCACATTCAGCATGGGAACATTTTGATGTAATACAATAATAAATCAGGGTGAAGGTTATATTTCCCCAAATCTTCCAGGAAATAGCAAGAAATTTATCATTCTTTCTTTATAAACTTAAAACATGCATGACTCATGGTAAAAAGTGATGATCTTATTATAATCTGGGTGGAGATTATTTTTTCACAGGAAGTTTGTAGGCTGATACTTATCTTCATTTTTTTTGTTTTCTACTAAATTTGACTTTAGAAAGATATCAAATTTTGTTTATATCCTTCATTTTTGCCTTTTAGATAAATAAAGGACTATGTTAAATAAGTCATATTTTACCCCAGAAATCATGGAAACCACATTTCATTTTTTAAACAAGCATCAAGTTCATATGTTAATGTTTAAACATGCTGAAAAGTCTTGCTTGCTTTCTTTATTGATCATAATTGAATTTATGTTGAAAGTTTTAGAAAAAAGGTCATATAAGTATTACATACAATTAACAATATCAATGATCCATGTAAATGAGGTCAAGGTCAGATGAACCCTGTCAGACAGACATGTATTTCTTACACTCATTCCATGCACCAAATATTGTTAACCTGTTGCTTAAAGTATCTGATAAATGAACTTAACCATATAAACATAATACTGACTTTTGAACCATGAAAATGAGGTCAAAGTCAGAGGAACCTGCCAGACAGACATGTACAGCATACAATCATTCCATAATCCATACACTAAATATAGTTAACCTATTGATTATAGTATCTAAGAAATGAACTTAACCATAAACATAGCATTAAGCAATGAACCATGAAAATAAGGTCAAGGTCAGATGAACCCATGACTTGTACACCTGACAATAATTTCAGTTGATACAGTTGATCTATTGCTTATAGTATCTGAGATACACAATTGACCCTCAAAACTTTACCTTGATCACTGATCCATGAAATGAGGTCAAGGTCAGGTGAATCCTGCCTGATGAACATGTAGACCTTGCAAGGATTCCATATACAAAATTTATTTTATCCTGGTACTCATAATAAGTGAGAAATTAATGAGACAAAAAAACAAGAGACTTTTTTAAGCAGTTGCCAAAACATGAAAATAAGGTCAAGGACAATGGACATATGACAGTCGAAAACATAACACATCTGTTTAGAAGGTATGAAACCTCCTTGAAATACAAATCATTATACAAATAGTTTACAACGTCACCCCTGGATTGCAATCCCTATGTCTCACATTCTGTAACAAAAACTACATGTTACTGTCTCTCTATTTGATATTACATAATTTGTTGAAAAAAAAATAAATGAAAAATAGGCAAATACATGAAATGTAATTTTTCTTCATTTTTGGGAAGAACTTTTTTATTCTATACAATCACGCTGAAGTATCCCTGGTCCATGAATATACATAGTTGAAATATCTTTGAATGCATATTATAACTGTTTTTTTTTTGTAGAAACTAAACATTTTGAATCAAATATAAGTTAATCTGTAAAACTAGCATGACAACATCCATATTATTATTCAGATAATACTTTCCAAAACATATTCTGATCCTGTAAAAGATATTTTTTTACATATATCTTTCAAGGCTGTGTCCTGTGAAATCTTATACTGAGAAGAACTGATTATATTATAGATTCAGCCTATGCAACTGAAGAATTATACAACATTGAAATAAGATAGAAATTGTTACCTGATGTTATCATAGACTTTATACACGATTTCTGATCGATTCTTGGCCATATTACATACTTGGCATTTGGCCTTGACTGTTTAAAGGTCAACATACACAAAGATAAACTCATTCCAGTTGCCATGGGAACAATAAAACATGATGCTGCTGATTGAATTCCTGTAACAGAGGAACAGTCACAGTTCAATGCAGTTAAACATCAAGATAATAACTGCATAAGCTAAAAAAACAAATAGCTGTGGTCTGCTATAAAATCTTTTCTAAAACCTCATATGAAAAATTGGGCAAGAAAAACTGGAACATGATGAAAAGAATTATTTAATTTAACACATGTAAAGTACACAGGGCACCTAGAGAAAAGTTGTTGGAGACATCACATTAGGCCTGCCTCATGTAACTAGAGGCTCTAAAGAGCCTGTGTCGCTCACCTTGGTCTATATGCATATTCAACAAAGGACACTCTCAAACATTGTAGACGAGAATAGAATTCATGAAAAAAAACCTCTGTTTTGTTGATCTTGTATTGCTGATCATTTAGTCTGTTTAGTTTCTTTCTATCTTCTTTAGTTTTTGCTAAAAACACAGAAGAGGGTAAAAAAAATCCTCATTTAAGGCCAATCACTCCTACAAAGAGTGACAGTCTACTAACTATATCGCCAAAATTTGACTTGTTAGTAGATCTTGCCTTGCTGATCATTTTTGTGGACAATAACTCTAATAAGGAGATGTCAGATGAATTCCTCCATATTGTCTTATTTGTAGATCTTGTCTTGCTGATCATTTTTGCTTGTTTAAGTTTCTATCTATCTTTTATAATTTTTAAGATATAAGGCAAAAACACAAAAAATTGGAAAAAATCGTCACCAAAGGGCTTTTACTCAAGTATTGAATCGACTGATGATTTCGACCATGCAGACTTATATATAAATCTTGTCCTGCTGATCAATTTAGTATTTACAGCTCCTCTCTATATATTATAGTTTTCAAGATAAAAGACAATAAAATGCTTCGCTGGGGCGCAGCTTGATACGACCGCAGAGGTCGAACCCTGAACAGTTGGGGCAAGTATGGACACAACATTCAAGCTTGATACAGCTCTGAATTTGGATTGTTATTAAATATTTGACACAGCATAGGTTTCTGACACAGAAAGAATGTGGTCTAAGAACTTGATTTTTTTTTAATTTACCTATTATGGTCCAATGTCCAAAATCAAAATACATGGTTAGATTCAGCATATCAAAGAACCCCATATATTCAATTTTTGTTAAAATCAAACAAAGTTTAATTTTGGACCCCAACTTGGACAAACTTGAAAACTGGGCCCATAATCAAAAATCTAAACACATGTTTAGATTCAGCATATCAAAGAACCCTAAGAATTCAATTTTTGCTAAAATCAAACTAAGTTTAATTTTGGACCCTTTGGACCTTAATGTAGACCAATTTAAAAAACGGGACTTAAAATTAAAAATCTAAATACACGGTTAGATTTGGAATATCAAAGAACCCCAATAATTCAATTTTTGATGAAATCAAACAAAGTTTAATTTTGGACCCTTTTGACCTCAATATGAACCAATTTGATAGCGGGGCCAACAAATAAAAAATCTAAATTCATGGTTAGATTCAGCATATATATCAAAGAACCCCATATATTCATTTTTTGTTGAAATCAAAAAAAGTTTAATTTTGGACCCCAACTTGGACCAACTTGAAAACTGGGCCCATAATCAAAAATCTAAACACATGTTTAGATTCAGCATATCAAAGAACCCCAAGAATTCAATTTTTGTTAAAATCAAACTAAGTTTAATTTTGGACCCTTTGGACCTCAATGAAGACCAATTTAAAAAACGGGACCCAAATTAAAAATCTAAAAACACGGTTAGATTTGGCATAGTAAAGAACCCCAATAATTCAATTTCTGATGAACTTAATTTTGGACCCTTTTGACCTCAATATGAACCAATTTGATAACGGGGTCCACAAATAAAAAATCTAAATACATGGTTAGATTCAGCATATCAAAGAACCTCATATATTCAATTTTTGCTAAAATCAAACAAAGTTTAATATTGGACCCTTTGGACCTTCATATGGATTTTTTTGTAAAAAAAAAAAGATGCAACATTTGCAGATATTTTTACTGGTCTTCCTTTATAAATATGCATTTCTTTAAACATAATTTAAAAGCAGTGTAAGGGAAGTAACCAAAACGTTGTATTTGGATTACCTCCCTTACACTGTTTTAAATTATCTTTATTGTTCATTAACCATTACTTTATACATAATTTAAAAGCAGTGTAAGGGAGATAATTTCAATGATGTATTTGATTTATCTCCCTTACACTGATTTAAATTATGTTTTGTACTAAAGTATTTGTCCATTAACCAGGACAACCTTGTTTTTCCCCCTTTTTTGCCTCTAATTCCTAAACGGTTTGAGCCATTACCCCCCAAAGCAAATCCTAACCATCCCTTTGTGGTATGGAAACTTGTAGTATAATTTCAGAGAGATCCATACACCGTTCCACAGTTATTGTCTGGAAACTAGAAAATGCTTATTTTTGGCCCCTTTTTGGCCCCTAATTCCTTAACTGTTGGTACCATAACCCCCAAAATCAATCCCAACCTTCCTTTTGTGGTATTTAACCTTATGGTCAAATTTCAAAAAGATCCATTCACTTAAACTAAAGTTAGAGTGCGAAAACCAATGTGTCTTCGGACAACGACGACGCCAACGTCATACCAATATACGACCACAAAATTTTTTTGCGGTCGTATAAAAAAATGAAAAAAATGGTAAAATTTTTCATTTAAGGGCAATAACTCCTATAAGAAGTCGTCTGACAGTTTACAAGTAACGAACAATTGGTAGAGCTCAAAATTCTAAACATTGATGCTTCATCTGATTCTTTCTATTTATAACGGTTTTCAAAATAATAGACAAAACTTGCATTTTACCCATAAGTTCTATTTTTAGCTATGTCGGCAATCTTAGTTGCCAGGCGGGGTCATCGGACACACTTTTTAAACTAGATACCCCAATGATGATTGTGGCTAAGTTTGGTTAAATTTGGTCCAGTTGTTTCAGAGAAAGAGATTTTTGTAAAAGTTAACGGACGACGAAGGATGACAACGACGGATGACAATGACGGACGACGAAGGATAACAACGAAGGATGACAACGAGGGACGACGAAGGACGCCAAGTGATGAGAAAAGCTCACTTGGCCCTTTGGGCCAGTAGAGTTAAAAAGGTAAATTGTGATTCAGTTTTAGAAATAATCAGGGTAATTGTATTTAACAATAGCTTTTACCCACAAAAGGCAAAAACTTTACTTATGAATAACTTATTTTTTTGATATTCAACAAGTGTAATCAACTTATCCAACTTTCAATATTTTTTTTTCTGTGTACTTGACACATTTATCAAAAGAAGTGAATACCAATGCCAACTTTTATCAAAGAACTCCAAAGGATTTTGTAGATAGTGAGGAGAATGATTTTGTTATTACTGTTTTTAAAATTGTTATCACATAACATGTAAAAAATTCAATTCAAGATTTCTTGCTGTTGTGCAATACACTGTGCTGTTGCGCAATACTTAGTAAATCTGTTGTCAGACTATAAACAAATAAAGTTCAATAACTTCTCAATGTTATATCAGAAATTTATAAAAAAACTAAAGGGAGGTTATCTTAATAGATATAAATCAGTCATCAAAGTTTAATGAAAACTGCTCTAAGCAACTTAAGGATATTGTCCAAAAACTTGAAAATCACCCCTTTTTTTATGAATAAAATCTTATAACTCGGAAACGTAAAATCTAAAATTTATAAAAATCAAAAGGGAACTTACAACAATAGATATCAACAATTTACCAAAGTTTCATAAAAAATGCTGAAAGCATTTTTGAGTTATTGTCCGAAAACTGGAAAATCCCCCTTTTTGTAATGAATAAAACCCCATAAATCAGAAACTTAAAGTCTAACATTTATAAAAATCAAAAGGGAGCTATGTCGATAGAATTAAACAATTCACCAAAGTTTCTTGCAAATTGGTGAAATTGTTTTTGAGTTATTGTCCGAAAACTGGAAAATCCCCCCTTTTTTAACGAATAAAACTCCAAAATTCAGAAACGGTAAATCCAAAATTTATAAAAAACGAAAGGGAGCTCACTTCAATAGATATAAACAATTCACCAAAGTTTCATGCATATTGGTTAAAGCATTTTTGAGTTAATGTCCGACATGTTGATGACGGAGGGACGGACAGACGGTCAACGGTATACCATAATACGCCCCGATAACGGGCGTATAAAAATTAACAATGACCGATGAACCATGAAAATGAGGTCAAGGTCAGATGAAACCTGCCAGTCTGACATGTACCCCTTACAATCATTCCATACACCACATATAGTTGATCTGCTGCTTGTAGTATCTGAGAAACGGACCTTATCACATAACTTTAACCTTGATCACTGATCCATGAATTGAGGTTGAGGTCAGGTTAACCCTGTCTGACAGACATGTAGACGTTGCAAGGAACCCAAATACCAAATATAGTTATCCTATCACTCATAATAAGTGAGAAAAAAACAATTTTTGTTCAAGCAGTCACTGAACCATGAAAATGAGGTCAAGGACAGTGGGCATATGACAGACAGAAACTTCACAACATAAGGTATCTGCATACAAGGTATGAAGCATCCAGGTCTTCTACCTTCTGAAATATTAAGCTTTATACACATAGTTTACGCTGCGGCCAACAGATAGTAATACCTATGTCTCGCATACTGCGACTTTTGTTGCAGGCGAGACAAAAACTAAGTCCATTTATCAGTAAAATACGGAAAAATGAAAATAAATATTTTCAAAATTTTGCTCTGGATAGTCTTTGTTCATAAACAAGCTTATGTCCAAATTTCATAAAATTCCATGTAGGTTTGACAAAGTTATTGAAGTCCATTTATTAGTAAAATACAGAAAAATTTAAATAAATATTTTCTAAATTTTGCTCTGGATGCTGTATTTTAGTCATAAACAAGCTTCTGTTCAAATTTCATGTAGGTTTGACAAAGTTATTGATGTCTATAAAATCTTTCACCACAGACTGAACCTAAATGTTGACGCCACCAATGCTGACGATGGAATCTAGGATCGCTATGTCTTGCTTTCGCGAAATAAATTTTGCAGGCTCGACAAAAATGGGAATGCATGACATTCTTCTTTGCAGTAGCAGCAAACCTCTAAGCTTTATTTCAAATCTGTACAAAAAACATTTTTAAACATTAAATGAAATCTTTATTCCAACTAGATAATCATATATGAAAAGCAATGAAAATGTATGTTTTTAATCTGTGCAATCAGTAAAAGTGTAAAGAGCTAAAATATATATATCTCCTTCGTTTGATGCAGATTTTATATGAGAAACTAGTACATTTGTAATGCATGAAACAGAATTCCTTGAAGAATACAATAATTATTCTATTCTGTGATAATACAGGTATGAAAAGCAAGAACCATGATTGGTTGACATCTGCAAAGAATAAAGTAATACACTGATAAAGATGCATAGTAAAAAAAAATAAAAAAATCAGGATACTACTTTAAAAAACACCTGTAAAAACCTGATATTTTGATGACATCTAACATCAAACTGTTAGTTAGTTTCATCATAACACTAGAACCAGCTGCTTTAGGCTGAATAGCAGTTATCTCCCCTGATCTTCCAATTCCATGACCAAATCTTGAAAAAAAGAATCACTTAGAAATAATGTTGAGGTGTTTATTTTTAGATTATAAATAAAGAAACTATTACTGTAGTAAAAAAATGTTTTCATCCAGGTCAGACTTTTATTCCAGGTCCTAACAATATGAATAAAACACACATTTGTAATATAAACAATGTATTATCTGAATCTGGAATAATTTTAAATTCTGGAAAATTGATTAAAAAATTATGATGAAAACTAACCCAACTAAATAAGTTCATGTTACTTTCACTGATATTTCAGTATGGACTAACTACCCACCCCCTAACCCTTTTAGCCATGCATGGCTAACCCTCCTTAATTGGGTTAGTTTTTTATCATACATTTCTCATCAATTTTCCAGAATTCAAAATTATTCCAGATTCAATTAATTCCTTGTTTACATGACTTTTATTTTACAAAAACAATTCCGCGACATAAATTTTCAATTAATATATAGTTACAATACATTTCTTGCTACATTGAACTACTAATGGTGTCGTTACATTCAACATGCATGTACTTCTAATCAAACTTTGTCTATGAAGCTGAAACTATTTGTTTACTTGTATGAAAGAAACAAACAATTTAATATTCACTTCTTTTTGTATAGCTCTTCAATACAGAGAATGGCAACTATAACAAGAAATTATTTATTTTAAAGCTAATTGAGACTTATCAAAGGGTTATATACCTGTAATGTCTGGTGGCTACTAAAGATGAAAATATTCTGGCCTCTCTTTCCCCTACTCCACAATTATCTGGGAAATTATTACTATCCATGACAGACAATTCTTGTAACAATAACTCAATTGTCTGATCTGTCCAGCCATCCTCTGGTAACTTTCTCTTCATCATAAATAATGTATGTATAAATATACACTTAGCATGGAAATTTTTGTACATGTATGTTTATTGAAACTGTTTAGAAATAATCAGTAAGTAATGTATTGTAAAGTTGAAATCAATTATTTCTATAATGATACATATCCTTTCTAAATTTATTCTTTTGACTGAGACATCATACCCATGATCAAGTCTGTGTAATAGAATTAACAAACATACCAAGTTTTGTGTACATATGTAAATACCAGAAAATAATTGGTAATGACAACAATTACTTTCAAAATTAATTCCAGTAAAATCATTTGACAGCAGAATATATTGAAATGGAAAAAGCTGCATATTTTTCAATGTGAGTAAAATACAGATCTTGAGTCAATGCTTTGTTTACAAGGATCAGGCAACTCTTTACCTTTTCTGTTGTGAAGACCTGGGGTGGTGTTCTCGAAAGTATCCTAAGATTCGTCCTAAGTCATAGATAAGACCAATTTTAGGATGGACTTAAGATCAGTTTAGGACACTCTGTAGGTTGTGTCTTGAAACTATCTCAGATGCATCTTATGTTAGGACGTCCTAAACATATTCCATTGTGCGAAATTTTAAATAGTTAAAGTAATTGTTTGATAAAACATTTATTAAAGACGAAACCAATTAATAAAATTGTTTACAAAATTTCATAATTACATGTATTTAATTAAACGCATGATTTCAAATGTAATTATAAAATAATATCAAAAAGGAATGTGATTTAAACTGGAAATCAATTTGTTTTGAAATGAGAATATTGAATTCGTAGTGTCATCGTATCGTAAAACACGAAGTTCAAAGTTTAAAATCATGCACAATGTCTTTACACGAGTTAATAACCGATGGTGCGTTTCATTTCATGTTCATCTTCACGTAAAAAAAAAAAATAGAAAAAAGCATGCACAAAGTTAGGATGAAGATATGATGATCTTAAGACACCTAATTATATAATTAGGTGTCCTAAAGTTAGGACGAAAAATGTGATATATCTTAAGTAAGGAGAGCTTCGAGAACACAACTTAGGACAAAGACTTGTCATAAGATGGTCTTAGGACACGTCCTAATCCTAAGATAGCTCCGAGAACACCACCCCTGTTTAGGACTCTCAGGTTTTGTCTTGTGTGCCCAAAAATGTTTGGAGGCAGAAAGTTCCTTGGTGGATGTAATACTTATCATCTATGAAATTAGAAGGGACTTTTTTGTCCAATCCTTGATAGTGAAGCATGAACACAATTATATTTTATTCAGATTGATATTTTTTCCCACTTACATGTTGAAGAAGATGCTTTATCTTTTTCTGGTGGACTAATTTTGCCTGCTTTCCTTGTTGTATGTAACTTTGTGATACTAACTTGGTACACAGATCATAGCACTGGTCATCCATAGCTACAATAAGAGATTCTTCTTACTTTGTATAATAAGGATTTAAAAGAAGTAATAATACTGTATACATGTATATACTCATCAATACCCCCCTCAATAAAACATTTTTTCTAATGGTTTCTGTTAAAAAATACTAATATCAACTTGAAAAGTAAATTATCTGCCTATGGTCTTTCTTCAAAATCAGTGAAATTACTTCAAAATTATCTTACAGATCGTAGGCAACAAATCAATCTTCAGGGAGTACTCAGCAGATGGACCTCTATTATTTAACATTTTTATAAATGACATATTCTATTTTATTGAACATGGTACCCTGTATAATTATGCTGACGAAAATACTCTGGCATATGCTGACAACAATTTTGAAATTTTTTTATGTACACTTGATAGAGAAAGTGCTGTTTTAATTGATTGGTTTAGATTTAATTGTATGCAGGCAAATCCTGATAAATTCCAAGCCATTGCAGTTGGAAATATAACATTTGCAAAGAAGCGTGTTTTTAATATACAGTCAGCAAACAAATTTTGTGATGAGATTGTCAAACTTTTAGGTATTGATATTGACTATCAACTTAATTTTAATCACCACATTAAAAATATTTGTCGTAAAGCATCTCAACAACTGAATGTTTTAAAGCGCATTGGCTGCTACCTTACTAAATTAAATAAATTGACCATTTTCCACACATTTATTTTATCTAATTTTAATTTTTGTCCTTTGCCTTGGCATTTTTGCAACAAAAATAATACCACTAAATTAGAAAAAATTCAGGAAAGGGCTTTACAATTTATATATGAAGACTATGCTAGTTCATATGAGGAATTACTTATATGAGCAAAGGTTGACCGTTCCTTCACTGAAAATTAGACGTATGCGTAGCATGGTTATTGAATGTTTTAAAATTTTATATAAATTGTCACCACCTTGTTTACACGATTTAGTTGTACTGAAAGATTGTAAATATAGTTTTAGATATTCTAATATTGTAGATATACCTAGGGTTCAGACATCAACCTATGGTAAGAACTCTTTTAAATATTATACAACTGCTGTTTTATGGAATGTTCTACATTTTGTACCTGATGATTTTAGAAAAATTGCTAATTTTAGTCAGTTTAAAATATTTTAAGCCATGGAATGGAAATGACTGTAAGTGCACAGTTTGTGCAGATTATTAATCAATATATTATGTTAAATTTTACCATCTACAAAAATGTAGATCATATCCTTTTTGTTTTAATATTTTATGCTATGCATTTTACCAGCTTTCTAATCATGCTTAGTTTACATTTTATATGCTTTTAGCTTTAATACCTAGTATGCTTTTAGCTTTAATACCTAGCTTAACATAGGTACGTTGATGGTTTTCTGTAACTGAAGAAGAAGAAGAAGCTTATATAATTTCTGCTTACTACCACCATTCTTTTAGTGCTTCATTTTGACTTTTGGGCTGTGTAATAGTACGGTATCCCGCAATGGTGGTAAGTCGTGCACTTAAGGCCATTTTTTATTTTATTTTTCTGTAGACTTAGCTTTGTTTTTTTATTACTGTGTATTGTCAAGCTTGGTTACTCATAATTGTTTCTCAGTCACTGATTGTACGATGTTGTTCCATACTGCAGCAGCTGACCCGGTTTGTTTACATTCAAATTCTAATGGCTTCAAAACCACGTGACACATTGAATCGTTATATCCAATCAAATTGCTCTACTGTCAATTAGGTGCTTTTTTTAGTACAAGGCAATTATATTATTTGTGTGTATGATCTGAGACTACTATAACTAGTAGTCTCAGGTATGATATTGCTTTGAAATAGTGTGCAATAAATTGGGGGTTTATTCAATAGGAAACCTCATTATTAGCCATGAAATTTGATATCAATGTAATTTTATATGAATATTTACTTATGGTCAGAATATTGATCTCTTTATATTGAATCAATTTTTTTTTTTATGAAAAATATATGTATATTGTTTTTTATTAACCTACTCTATAGTCCTAAACAAAAATATGGCATGATTATCGTTTGTTTCCCAAGGTTTTTCTTTCAATTTGGATGTTTTTTTTCGCGGGAAAATCGCGTAAGACGTAAGGTGCTTGCCATTTTGAAATTCTTAAAAATATGATTTGCTTGGCCTGTTTGGTCTGCCATTAAGATTGATGACGCTAAATGGAATGTAAACAAAGCAATGGAGGCCGGAAGAGGGGATTTCTGAAGTTCTGGAATGTTTATAGGCATTCGAAAGTCAGGTTTAAAAACGGCCATTAGAAAATCTGCATTTTTGTACAATACTTAAGAATAATAATGAAAACATATCTTTAGAAATATCATTTTATTTAGAAGTGTAGAAAAAATGTATTCTGCACTAATTTTATACGCTGGTATTAGCGTAGTGACGTCAATGCGGAGTTTTCCAGTATGATAAGTACAATAACAAAATCCGAACGAACCAACGTTATGACCGATTATAGACTACGGTAGGATACATATAATTTTGTCAAATTGTGTCCAAATGACAAATTGATATTTGTAATAGATTGATAGTTAAACAATAACAAAAAGACTCAACATGAAATGGAATAAAGGGTTGCATGCACCAATCACTCAATCTACCTTATATCCTCAGAACACTGGTAACTTTTGTTGACTTTTTCAAAGGTCAAAATTTGAACCGGAAATTAAATGTCAGTACTAATATTTATCCGAATCGGTAATTATTCCGGACGTAAAATAATTCGAAAACATATGGAAAACGTCAATTTGGTCAGCTACCAAATGTTTTCATCATTATAAAAAAAATATTCAAAAAATCATTTAGGGTAAATTTCAATTAGCAGCAACTCATCTGCAGTGCTTAAACAATGGACAAATGCATTAAATTACTAATGACAATAATGAAAATTTCCCGGGACAATTTTATCTTTTAAATACACCTTATCGCTATTTGTCCGCCATTACTGGACATCACACAAGTTCCCGTAAAATTTTGACGTCATAATAGAAAATATCTGACGCCACAATGGAAAAGTGATTGTTGTATGACGTCAAAAGTTCGAGCGGGACTGATTCTCGGGTCAAGCGGGATTAGCGATAAGGTGTATTGTAATTTTTAGTGATCATAACTGTAGATGTAAAATCCTATTTCAAGTCTTTTGCTATAATTGTATGTCATTTTGCTGTATTGAGTCTGTCAATTTCATGCCTTTTATCTTGAATAAATGTTATTATTATCATTAATGATTTTATCTTGGGAAATCAATTTAGTTCTTAACTTGAGGGAATGATAATTTTTACCAGCCGAGGGAGGTCGGATCAAATTTGGCAAACAAAAATAGTTTTTTGGCAATGTTTGACCCTCAGTTTTTTTTTGTAATATTTGACCCTTAATTTTTTTAAACTTGATACTTTTTTCCAGAACGCGCAGAAGGGAAGTGAAAAGTACATTGTCATATTGAAAATTAGTAAAACATTTAAACGCAATCATCATCCTCAAATAAAAGATGAATGATGAGTGTCTTATGCTACCAGCAATAACCTAGATGCCTTAAAGAATTAAAATGGACCAACCAATTATCACAGGACTGAAAAGCCTAAGTGTCATGTGTCTTCCTTGTCTGTTAAAACTTTTTCTTAAAAAATGATCTGCATTATTTGAAAGTACAGTTTCTGACTAAAAATACAGTAGTTCACCTGTCTCAACTTATTTCTTTAAACTAACATGAGAATGCCGATGATATTTATTGTATATCCATTTGTCTGTAATTCGTGAGAATGATAAGAATGTTTGCAACTGTTGCACTACTGTCTTATACCATAGATATCTTTGTAGATGTATGGTTATATATTCATTCTAAACAATCCACAGACGTTGTTATACATCTGTGGTTATACATTCATTCTAAACAATTCACAGACGTCGTTATACATTTATTTAAGGAATGATTGTAAATATTTTTTCTGTCTATTCGAAATAACATCAAAAATGTGGTGAACACTGAATATTTTTTCTGTCTACGAAAACTCCATTTTTAAAGGAATAAATCATGAAAAAATGTTGATTATGACGTCACGGTCACATAACAAGATTATGAGCTGATAGATAAAAAACTTTCAGCCAATACGAAGAAGTGTTACATCCAAAATTAAATAATTGTTTTATATTCATTCTGAACAATTCACAGACATCGTTATACATCTATGGTTATATATTCATTCTGAACAATTCACAGGTCCGAACTACTTCTAACAGACCCCTTAAGAATTTCAAAGACATTGACAGACAGCACATTACGTTTTAATACAAAATTGCAAGACGGACAGCAGATTGTACTAATACAAAATTGCTGAAACTGACAGTCAAGTTGTGACTTCTTGTTTATATATATGTGTTTCTATAGATGCCATTTAAAGTTATGACAGCGTGGTGCAATTCATGTTTATAAATAATTAGATTTTTTAGATCAAATTAAAATCAATAGAAAATATCAATATAATAAAAATAGTATTTTATTTTGAAACAATATCTTTTTAATTTCAATTTGATTGGTTTTACATTATTTTAAAAAAAATCATTTCTGAATATATTTATAAAATTGAGAATGGAAACGGGGAATGTGTCAAAGAGACAACAACCGACCAAAGAGCAAAACACAGCGCAAGGCCACCAAAGGGTCTTCAACACAGCGAGAAAATCCTGCACCCGGAGGCGGGCTACAGCTGGCCCCTAAACAAAAATGTGTACTAGTTCAGCGAAAGTGGACGTCATACTTAACTCCGAAACATATAAATGAACCAAAATTAAAAAAAAATATACAAGACTAACAAAGGCCAGATGCTAAGGGAGACGGATTTATATAGGTTCTTCTTGTTTCCGAATCCCAGTATTTAAATAAATGAAAAATGCTATGTCATAAATATTTCTAAAAAGTCGAAAACTAATTTATTTCAATATAAATTACATAACCATGTACTTGAATTTGTCAATGACAGCAAGTATCTAGGAGTTACAATAAGCAATGATCTTGATTGGGGGCCCCATATTAATAATATAACTTCAAAGGCAAATAAAACACTAGGATTTTTACGTAGAAACATGAAAAATTGTACACGTAAGGTTAAAAACCTTACGTACACATCACTTGTGCGTCCGACCGTCGAGTACTACTCACCAGTTTGGGATCCGTACAAACAAAGCCAAATAAACCAAATTGAGCAGATACAGCGTAAGGCAGCAAGATATGTTTTTAATGACTATAACGATAGATCACCAGGTGCTGTCACTGGTATGTTAAACAAACTAAAATGGGAAAACTTGCAATCCCGTAGAACAAAAGCTAAGCTTGTCTTGATTTATAAGATTAATGGGGGGTTGGTCGAAGTCACTAATGACGTCCTGACACAATCTGACAGGCGAACTAGAGGCCTACATAAATTTCGACATATATATACAAATGAAGACTTTTTTAAATCATCTTTTTTCCCAAGTACTATTGCTGTCTGGAACAATCTCCCAGAAACAATTTGCATGTCACCCTCCCTAGAATCCTTCAAAGGTGGTATCTCCACCTTAACATTTGGAGGTTCTAGTCTGGCTAATTAATTAGTGTATTTAAGCCACTGTACATAATGTGAATATGTTTAACATTAAGCTACAACTAATGTTATTTTAAATTGTAATTGAACTGTGGCAAATATTTTTATCTTAAAACAAAATGTTCGACATCCATTTGCATGTACATAGCGCCACAGCTCCGGGATATTCCACACTCCGGCACCGGAGTCTTTCCCGTACCAGGAAGAAGAAAATTTATATTGTATAATTGTATTTTGTGCACTTTTGAAAATAAAATATTGTTTAAACTAAAGGCCAGATGCTCCTGACTTGGGACAGGCGCATAAATGCGGCGGGTTAAACATGTTTTGTGAGATTTCAACCCTCCCCTATACCTCTAACCAATGTAGAATAAACAAACACACAGAAATACGTACAGAAAAAAATCAGTTTAAAAGAAGTCCGATTCCGATGTTAGAATAGGTAACAGAAAAAAACTAAGCAAAATGACAATAATACACAAATTAACAAAGGATTACTAGCAGTTACTGACATGCCAGCACCAGACCTCAATTACACCGATTGAAAGATTATGTCTTCATCATATGAAAATCAAGTAAAACTCCTCCCGTTAGGGGTTTAGTATCATACCATCATAAAATATACGAGAAGAACATAACCCGTATCAGGCCAACAACTGGTTTTAGAATAAATGTGTTTATTTCCGATGCAAAGACCCTATAAGTGAATCAATATTAATTCCTAAAAATGCCATCTTTAACGACCTGACAACAGTATCGTAACTATATCCCTTCTGAATAAGTCTGTTTAAAGGTTTGGTTAGCTTTTGAGGTGAATGTCGACATTTTTGTGCTTTAATAGAATATTACCATAAAAGATTGGTTGTGAAATACCTGAACGTATAAGATGTCTGCACGTTGATTTATATTTACGAATGATGTCCTTGTACCGATGATAAAATTTAGTAAATGTTTTGACAAGTTTGTGATTTCGAAAACCTTGGTGTAATAATTTTTCAGTAATACGGAGATTTCTTTCGTTAAAATCAAATACGTTGTTACATACACGAGCGAATCGAACAAGTTGAGATATATAAGCACCATAAGATGGTGACAAGGGAACGTCACCATCTAAAAATGTACGATTAACAATAGGAAATGAAAAATCATCTCTTTTATCGTAAATTTTGGTATTAAGCTTCCCGTTAAAGATATAGATATCAAGATCAAGGAAAGGGCATTGTATATATATCATCCAAATATCTAAAATTGTTATTAAATTTTTGTATCAGATGTTATTTCGATTGGTCTTTGCTGATTTTAGTCATAAATTGTAGATCGTAACAATTCAGAAACAGGTCCGCAATCAGTGGTGCACAGTTAGTCCCCATTGGAATTCCGATAACTTGACGATATACGGAATCGCCATAGCGAAAAAAAATGTTATCTTGTAAAAATTCGGACGGACGACGGACGCCAAGTGATGAGAAAAGCTCACTTGGCCCTTTTGGGCCAAGTGAGCTAAAAATCATGTATCTAAGACTAAAATATCAATCAGTACACATCCAACATCCAATGGTGGTTTACATAGGAGTACGGGGACCACGCTGTTTACAGACTATTCACAGAAGCGACATAGACTGTTTACGAAAAGAACAGTTTTCTTAGTAAATCCATGTTATCATATTTACTTGCAAAGTTATCCCTCTACAACATCATTTCATAAAAAATCCTTTATATTATTTCAAATTTATTGATTGGTTGTTGTTTGCTTAGCAGCGAGTGATTTCCAAATGTATCAAAACTCTTCTGAAACTGAAAACATTTTATATACAAAAAATATTGATAAATGAATAATTCAAGTTTACTAGATATATAGATATAGGAAGATGTGGTATGAGTGCCATTCCATCCAAGTTACAATTTATAAAAGTAAACCATTATAGGTCAAGGTACGGCCTTCAACACGGAGCATTGGCTCACACCGAACAGCAAACTATAAAGGGCCCCAAAAAATTACTAGTGTAAAACCATTCAAACGGAAAAACCAACGGTCTAATCTATATATATATATATAAACGAGAAACGAGAAACACGTATGAACTACATAAACAGACGACAACTACTGTTTCCTGACTTAGGACAGGTGCAAACATTTGCAGCGGGATTCAACGTTTGAATGGTACCAAACCTTCTCCCTTTTCTGAAACAATAGTATAACATCACAACATAGAAAAACACACTATAAAATATCAATTGGAAGGCTTAACTCAATCAAGAAACGTAAATTAACACACAATGAACGAATAAATTTGACCTGTGACACCTGAATGCAAATACACAGTTAATAAAAAATTACAAGGGATAAATAATTAAAGTCAAAAGTAAATAAACAGGTTTAAACAAAGTTAAAGTATGATATCACTGTGAAATTTCAAACAATTTATAGAAAATCACCACTTTTGAAGAAACCTGCGTCATATTATACACAGGTAAATGAAAATAATTTTGTTGTTAAGTATACTTCTTCTTCTGTGTGTTCAAAATCTTCCGTTTACTAATACCAAGAAATTTCTTTAATATCAATAAAACTGATCTAACACTTGGTACATATGGGGTGAATAGTCAGTTATCAATTTTGCTAGGAAAATAAGTTCCTTGTGAAGTTCAATCCTTTCTATAGTTTAAATTTGCATAACAAATATTTGAATAGTCATGAATATAATGAAACTCAACTTGAGTTTTCTAGTTACAAACACGATAAACGTCCCTGTTATTAGTTTTCATGGAAAATAAGTCTGGTCTAATTATTAAAATATAAACCATTGCAAACATTACAATAATGGACTTCTTGGTATTCCTAAGCGGAAGATTTTATACACACAGAAGAAGTACAGTAGTTGTCGTCTGTTTATGTAGTTCATACGTGTTTCTCGTTTCTCGTTTTTATATAGATTAGACCGTTGGTTTTCCCGTTTAAATGGTTTTACACTAGTAATTTTTTGGGCCCTTTATAGCTTGCTGTTCGGTGTGAGCCAGTGCTCCGTGATGAAGGCCGTACCTTGACCTATAAATTGGTTTACTTTTATAAATTGTTATTTGGATGGAGATTTGTCTCATTGGCACTCATACCACATCTTCCTATATCTACTTATTATTCATAAAACAATAGGACTTTGCTAACCTTGTATCAAGGAAGTGGGTGATAAAAATAGAATACAATTGAAACAATTCAGTTAGTTTTCCAAAAAGTAGATAACATCAACATGATTAAATATAAAATTGGGATAATCTTGTTGTTCGCCCAGTTTATTAAATGATCAACTAATGATGGCGAAATTCAAAATTTTATTTTGTCTTTTCGTAAGCCTGCCTTTTTCAAGAGCATGCGAAACATGCAGCACCAGTAACTGGTATCAATGGAATGATTGTTCGGAATCGTGTGGTGGCGGTATCAAGAGTCGACAGCGGTCACTATGTTGTCCTGAAGAAGTTCCATATGACACATGTCTTAATAATCTTTGTAAAGATACGGTGACATACAATGACACACAATAGACGGCTGTTTGTAATGATCACTGTTTTAATGGAGGAACTTACAACGATGGATGCTCGTGCAGAGCTGGATGGACAGGCAGTTGCTGCGGAGTTCGTAAGTATTATTGACAATAACGATGGATGTTCGTGCAGAGCTGGATGAACAGGCAGTTGCTGCGGAGTTCGTAAGTATTATTGACAATAACGATTGAAGTTCGTGTAGAGCTGGATGGACAGGCAGTTGCTGCGGACTTCGTAAGCATTATTGACAATAACGATAGATGTTCGTGCTGAGCTGGAATGACAGGCAGTTTTTGTGGAGTTTGTAAGTATAATTGACAATAACGATGGATGTTCGTGCAGAGCTGGATGGACAGGCAGCTGCTGCGGAGTTCGTACGTATTATTGACAATAACGATGGGTGTTCTAGCAAAGCAGGATGGACAGGCACATGCTGCGGAGTTCGTACGTATTATTGACACGCAAAACGAAGAAGAAATGAGATAAAATGGAGGAGAAGCATTGGTTTTATAAATGTACCTGGTATGATAAATGATCATTGTATAAATGTTAAATCGGTCCACATTCTTCCAACAACAAGTAGAGAATACCAAACATGTGTTGAGTGAAAAATGAGAAATTATAATCACGGGGAACAATTACTTACTGTCAGGGGAAAAAAATTAAAAAAACACGACATCATGAATTGACATTACTTTTCAACAACACTTTTAAAGAGTAGGGTAGGGCCTATCCATAACAAGTTGACAAATAAATAAGATATGAAATGGAGTGATATCATGTGCTTTTAACGAGCAATTATTTTTCGCATTTACCATCAGTCATGTTCCATGATGTCAAAAGATAGTAATGAGTTGAATTCGATACTAACAGTACTCAAGAGAATCAATTTTGTGCAGTCCTTACTTTATAGTCAATTGGATTAAATGAAATATATACATTATATCTAAACTTATCATTATTTAGAGCAAACACCACTATAATTGAAGCTTAAATAAAGGTATGGTATTCTTATTTGCTATACGAGCGTGCTTGGTATGAGTAAAGAAAACAAATCCGAATGGAACTGGACACAATTGGTGGCCATTAGGTACCAATCGATTCTTGGAAAATTGGTGCGGAAAAAATTAAGCAATGGCATTATCAATTTAAAAGGTTACTCGAATAATTAAGTCGTTATATTCCGCTGCTCTACGAAGGATACATCGCGAGTGGGAGAGTCGATCACGGGGGAAAGGACTCGTGTTATTAAAAATGTAGTCGTAAGTAACATCTGCGTCTGTGCCATTTTTTTTGTGAATCAGGGAGGTTTCTGACAAAGCGTATCTTCTGCCATTAGCCAAGTTTGGTTAGAGCCTTTCCCTATTTTTCTTGTTAGTAATGCATTAAAAGTCATTTAAAATCTTCAGGATTCAATGTTAAAAATCAAAGGGTATAAAGTTATTGCAAAATTAACGGTGTTTATCCCTTTTTTAAACTTAAATGCATACAAATGTTAAGGACTTGAATTTATCAATGTACCTGGTATTATCAATGATTGTTGTATAAATGTTCAGTGTCCCCATTTCTTCCAACACATCTTGATACCGTGAGAAGTGAGAACGCTTATACAAAATGTGTGAACCTGTTTGAAAATACTAATAAACGTTTCGAAAGTAACTTTATACAAAAATATTCAAGACTGATAATAAAATTAAATAGTCTCATATTTTGTATCAGCAGCTAACAATTTTAACCAAGACACCAAAAATGAAATTACTAAATCAAGAGGTTCCCACTATGTATGTGTTTCTTATATTACAGAAGAAACCTTAAAAGTTTGGATGTTATCCCAAATTGTTCAACAACAACCGTTTAAGGTCAAGGAACAGTAAATAGGCTATGTCACAGATTTCACTGATTTGATGATTTTAAGACAAATTTAAGAATGTTTTTCGCCGATTTTATATGCTTTCTATACAAATGTTTCCCTATTTTGAAAGAATTCAATCAGTAATATTTCGGATGATAAAAGAGATAAATGCATTATTTTATTGATTTTCAGTTATAGTTCAACGAGCCAAATTTGTATGCAAAAATTTAAGCCAAATCTGTGACATAGCTCATTTACTGTAACTTGACCTTAAAGAAGCCTTTTCAAATTGTGTGACAAAGTTTATGTTTATAATGTTTATGTCTGGGTGTTGAACAGTCTTTGGTCTTAATAAGACACTTCTTTTTAGGGGTCAGCTTATCACCGAAATTTCTCGACTCTTAGTTTTATTTCCAAAAGCTATACAGCTTTTCTTACAAGTAAAGCCCTTTTCAACTGATGTTTATAGTTTATTCTTATGTACCAGGTTAGGGGAGGGTTGAGCACCCGCAAAAAAAGTTTAACCCCGCAACATTATATATGTGCCTATCCCGTTTGTTGTTGTTTATCATATATGTTTTCGTTTATTGTTTTTGTGTAGTTTCGTTCTTGTGTTGTGCCGTTGCACCACTGTTACAGATTAAGAGAGGGTTGGGTGCCCGCTGATATGTTTAACCCAGCCACATTCTGTATGTGCCTGTTCCAAGTAAAGATCCTGTAACTCAGTGGTATTTTGTTGCTGTGTGTCATATCTCTGTAAATGTCGAATAAAGGAATATAATTTGTCTGCTAAACTTTTCTTTTAGTTTACAGAACATTACCATCTGATTTTATACAATAGCTGAAAATCACCATTAACATTCAGTATGAAGAAAAACAAAACAGCAATCACTATAGGAATATCAAATGACGAACCGTAAGAACGGCTTTCACCACAGCAAATTTCATAATTTCACAGTTATCTGTTTCTTGATTTTACAAATTAAACACTGTTTTTCGGCCTTGGTTTAATATCTTTGGAGTTTGCAAAAGATTGCCATTAAAGAATAACATTCCTAACTAATAAATTGATCAATTACTTTAATGTTTTTTTCCATTCAAAAATCGTTTTTATTCAGGTTTATCTACTTCTAAAAACTACTATTTTTGTTTTTGCTATAGGTTCATATACAAATTCTGTTCATTTGACCACACATTAGCAGAATTAATCCTCTTTTGTAGATTTTGTAGATTTTCACTAAATATCACAGTACTCATCAGCTTACATTTCATTTACATACAATGAATAAAGTAGAAGGGATAAGGATTCCACTTGCAATAGACCATAATTACATACAAATTAATTTGAAAATTGTCCATCTAATTTGACGCATGCATGACTTCTTTTGAATTCATAGATTTAATAACATTCAACATTTTACCAGTAATACCTTACCTGAATAATTTCTACCATAATTAGATACGAGAAAAACACTTTCTAACGCTTTAATAAAATCTATAAAGCATGCAGAAATACAACCTTTTGCCTATACTTAACATATTTGAAATACGGGAATTAAGGGTAAAGATGGCATTTGTTGTAAACATATCCTGGTCAAATACCGAACTGAGCGTCCATGATAGTGCTATTTTCCTCACTCCATTGAAGTCCGGTATTTGTGTAGGATGTAAAGAGTTACAAATGTGTAGGTAGAACTAAGTTTCCAGTCTGATCAGTATCTCCTTTCTGGAAAACAGGAATAACACATTTGACTCATAATTCTGGAAAATGTCCAGTACTTTAAAAATGTTATTGAATAGAGTACACAATACTGGATTTTCTGCCATAGTTAGACACGAGAAAAACACTTTCTAACGCTTTAATAAAATCTATAAAGCATGCAGAAATACAACCTTTTGCCTATACTTAACATATTTGAAATACGGGAATTAAGGGTAAAGATGGCATTTGTTGTACCATATCCTGGTCTAATACCGAACTGAGCGTCCATGATAGTGTTATTTTCCTCACTCCATTGAAGTCCGGTATTTGTGTTGGATGTAAAGAGTTACAAATGTGTAGGTAGAACTAAGTTTCCAGTCTGATCAGTATCTCCTTTCTGGAAAACAGGAATAACACATTTGACTCATAATTCTGGAAAATGTCCAGTACTTTAAAAATGTTATTGAATAGAGTACACAATACTGGATTTTCTGCCATAGTTAGATACGAGAAAAACACTTTCTAACGCTTTAATAAAATCTATAAAGCATGCAGAAATACAACCTTTTGCCTATACTTAACATATTTGAAATACGGGAATTAAGGGTAAAGATGGCATTTGTTGTACCATATCCTGGTCAAATACCGAACTGAGCGTCCATGATAGTGCTATTTTCCTCACTCCATTGAAGCCCGGTATTTGTGTAGGATGTAAAGAGTTACAAATGTGTAGGTAGAACTAAGTTTCCAGTCTGATCAGTATCTCCTTTCTGGAAAACAGGAATAACACATTTGACTCATAATTCTGGAAAATGTCCAGTACTTTAAAAATGTTATTGAATAGAGTACACAATACTGGAATCAATAAGTTTTTTTCCTGTTAACAAATACTCATAATATTGTCAGGGCCGTTTAATTTGTAACGCGTTTTCACGGCGCAAACATATTTCAACTTCTATTTCAGAAAAGGGCCCATCGAGTTCTTCAAAACATTTTCGATAGTTTCATCAATGTTTTGATTAACAGCACCAGTTACATTATAAACATTTTTTTTTATTGTTCTTCAAGTTTTTTTAGTGTTACATTACTTATCACAGTGTTACATTACTTATCACAGTGTTACATTACTTATCACACGAGTGTTACATTACTTATCACACGAGTGTTACATTACTTATCACAGTGTTACATTACTTATCACAGTGTTACATTACTTATCACAGTGTTACATTACTTATCACAGTGTTACATTACTTATCACAGTGTTACATTACTTATCACAGTGTTACATTACTTATCACAGTGTTACATTACTTATCACACGAGTTTTCGTCTTCTTGAATTTACGTTAAAATTTTCTTAAAGTCAAATCTTTGGCATATAAAATAAATTGGTCAAAACCTAAAACATATTGAAATTCTGTGCACATTTACTTTGGATATTGAAATGTTTTGTTTTCCATTATTCATGGCGGTGTTGTTTGAAATCTTTTCGATGTATATCTGCTGATATAAGAGTGTAAGAAGGCAAACTTTCTTTATCACCAGAATAGCAATCCTTAGATCTTGTCCTCGGTTACTGCAGGCATTCTTTGATACGTTATTTTTAAGTATTCATTTTCTTTTAACCGTGCTTATGTTGTCTGTAAGTGTAATGCCGATATTATAGAGTTGATTTATTTTTATCTTCATTAATTTTTATTGTACTTCATTCTGTGATCCTTTTGTTATTTCACGGATCAAGATAAAAAAAACCCAGGGAGGTCGCTGAGTCACTGCTAAAGAATCATAGCTTCCACGTCAATGTGCTTGTCCTAAGTCAGTAACCTCGTTAGTTTTGTCCATACACGAAGGGTTGCATGACTTGAGTTACAAGAAGGATATTCCGCTACTTCTCCCGTACGACTATGAAACCCTTGCTATTTTGGCCGAGACGTTCGTTTGGATAAATTCATTTTCACGTCGGAATTGGGACGTCAAATCCGATGTGTTGGGTGAGTTCTAATCTCTCAGCAAATTAAGGAAACCTTGTAACAACTCTCTGAGGGGTACGTAGATGGCCTGTTGAAAGGCAGTATTTCTATCCATATCCAACATATCCTCATTTTTTTAGTGGCAGTCAAAATTTCCCGCACAACATCCTTGTCGACCTAATTGCAAAAACCTACATATAATGTTTTTTATCGTTAACTTATCTCGTCCTACATATATATATGCATTAAATATTTGCCAGTGGACGTTAAGCAAGTACCAATTCATTGGTCATTTCTTTTTTTTTTTTTGTTAAAGGGGCACTAGCTGTCAAATTCATGTTCACCGATTTGACTCAAATTCTCATATTTGATTTATAACAATGTAAAACATTTATCCAAACTATTAAAAGTCTAAAATAAACAGTTAACAGGACATGGGCATGATAACACGTAGCTTCGTTTCGTGTGTATTTTAGTCTAGACGTCATCTAATTAACTATCGAGTTGACCTCCAAAGTCATCCGATGACCATATAAGCGATTTAAACATAAATAAAGATATAAATAGATTAAGCGAACTCGTGCTATTGGAGTTTTCTAGGTCTGTTTAATTTCATATTATAGATTAAAAGTATATGTTTATCATCGTTTTTACCTGTATAAGAATGATTTTTGTGGATCGGATCAGTCAATCAAATGATTTACCTTTGTTTCACTTTCAATGTTGACATTCTTTTCTTTTAAATAACTTTACACATACAATTCACGTGTTATCCATCTCTAGCTAAGGGGTTAAATTGAAGTTCACATGAATACGGATTCAATGAGGTCGAATTATTGACTTGCAAGTGAATAATTCATCATCAGTGTTTCTTAGCTTATTTTGACAAAATTGAACCATACTGGTGGCTAAAAGCGAATAATTATTTCACTATTTCACTTTCATTAATGATTGAACAAAAAAAAATCATATATTAGATTTTTTGTATATATCGTAGCTAGTGCCCCTTTAAGACAGTATATTGACCTTATGACTAATCTTCTGATTTTAGTTTTTGTCTTTATCTTTTTGATCTGTACTTCACATCTCCTTTAACTTGTATAAATAAGTTCCTTAGCTTACACAACCTTAGCTCATTGACCTAAACATAGTTTAAAAAAAAACAAAACAAAAGACTGTTGGTATTTGTGAAACCACATTTGTTACACGCCACTATTGAAAGACAAATAGTCGTTCTTAAAACTGATGTCTATATAAATGTTAAGAACATGGGAAGAGGTTTAGTGGAATAATAAGTAGACCCAGCTATATCATACCATTGTTTTATTGACTGTCCAAGCTATATATTATTGTTTATTGACTACCCAGCTGTATGCCATTTTTTTATTGACTGCCCAGCTCTATACTATTGTCTTATTAGTAGGCCAAGTTATATTCCAAGTTTTTTGTGTAGACTTTTGCATAATTGGTATCTAGTAAGAAAATCATCTTCATTGACAAGAATGTCTATAAAGAACACACGACGTGAGCTGTCAATATTGAGTCCATAGATGTATTGCGACAGGCAAAATACAGAATGCATTAATGCATGAAAAAAATAGAAAGTTAGATATAAGAAACTGAAGCACACAAACATTCCAATAATTATTACAAATTATTAATTTCAGCTTGCGGAGACAAAATACACGGAGTAAACTGTAGTCAGAGTTGTGAGTGCGCAGAGGGATTAAGATGTGACCCGAGCACTGGACAGTGTGTACTACGCGAGTCTGTTGTTATAACAGAAGGTTAGTACGGTGTGATTTCTAAATAAATAAAACTGAACAAATATCACAATGTTGCAAGTTTTTTTGTCACAAAATCAACCGTTATAGTAAATATGTATTTGCATTTTTAAGATCACCTTCAATTTAAAAAAAGACAGACTTAAAAGAGATCATATACACCCTATATGTACTTAGTGTCCGTCCATTCGTTCATCCGCCCTCCATTTATATCCAAGAATGGATTCCAACCAAACTTTCAGACAATCTTAATTACTTAATGGCATTATGTACCTTTTATTTTACCAGACTCAAGCTATCGAACAATAAGCAAGATTTTCCAGTCGTATATTCACTGAAACGATTTTCCATCATACAAGTATATACCGGAACCACCAATTGTCTACAATAGATATATAAGGACATCAGGAAACCAATTCTCGAAACAATTTATAAACAATATAAAGGTTAATATGTTTCACGTGCAATTAAATAAACAAGTGACACTTATAGTTTTAATTTTAGATTTTGTAAACAAATATAAAGATGTTATCAATTAAAGTTATAAAGATGCCTTAAATTCAAAAAGCCATTGCAGAAACTCAGTAGTATGATACTGTTCAAGATATTTTATGTCTTTTTGTCATTATATTCTACAGATGGACGTGAATGTCAAACATGTGAACTACGATACTGGGGATCGTGGGGAAGTTGTGACCAGCAGTGTGGGGGAGGTATGAGGATTAGACACAGGGAGGTGTGTTGTCCAGAGATAATAGACTATCACACATGTACCAGAGAAACATGCAGAGGCAGTGTCAATCTTAGTGACATAGTTGGAAAAGGACCATGTAATCTCGATTGCTACAACGGTGGTGTATATAACGAGACATGTCAATGCAAACCTGGGTGGACGGGAAGCTGTTGCGAGACCAGTAAGTATAATATACAATGCAAACCTGGGTGGACGGGAAGATGTTGCGAGACCAGTAAGTATAATATACAATGCAAACCTGGGTGGAGGAGAAGATGTTGCGAGACCAGTAAGTATAATATACAATGCAAACCTGGGTGGACGGGAAGATGTTGCGAGACCAGTAAGTATAATATACAATGCAAACCTAGGTGGACGGGAAGATGTTGCGAAAACAGTAAGTATAAAATATATAGAAGTAATAATATTTGGACATTTGCCGTTGGAACAATCAACTAACCAGCAAAGACCACTTTGGTTGCATGAACATCAGAAGGGCATTGATCCCGTTACAATGAGGAAAGTACAACACAGTAACTGTATAGGCGGAAAATGAATGGACTGTATCCACAAATTGCCTGAAGCAGTGAATAAAATGCAACGATGATTTACCAATGTTAAAATCTCATAAATACATTAATAAAATTGAGAATGTAAATGGGGAATGTGTCAAAGAGACAACAACCCGACCAAAGAGCAAGAATACTACTAAATAAATACAAACCAAGTGAAAGCAACTGCATGAGGAACAAGACCATGTCACAGTGTCAGCGTCTCCTGTTATGCATGCATCATAGTAACCCATAACACATTGTCTTAGGAACAAGATCATGTGACAGTGTCAGTGTCAGCGTCTCCTGTTATGCATGCATCATAGTAACCCATAACACATTGTCTTAGCGCCCCAAAACGGAAAAAAATAATAAGAATGGCTTTTCAGTTAATTACTTATGTCAGAGACATATAATACATTGTATTATATGTCTCTGCTTATGTATTTGTCTATTTAGAAAGTACTTAATTTGATATATATATAGTGGCTGAGATATAAAAGGAATGTATGGAGCTACACTATTCTGATTTATTTGCTTAATTTGAATGATTTTGGAAATCACTGTAAAGTTATATATATTCTTACACCTTTCAAATCGATTTACTTTTTCTTACGAATGAAAAACTAAATACATATGATAACAAAACAAATGCGTTTTACACAATTCCATAATTTTGATAGGCCGAGAAAATCTTTGATTGCACGAGCTATCCGTGGCAACGTTAAATAATGAAATGCCTTATTTAACTCGTAATTTCAAAATTTTCTTTTCTTTTCCTATGCATTGTTGTGACGTTGGCACAGGAAGCACGTGCAGTAATGAATGTTGAATTTAATTGACAAATACATAGACAATCACTGTTTAGTGTCTTTAAAAATCAGCCGCTGTATTCGTACGAGGCTAAGAAACAGGCCTGTTTCGAGCCGAGTAAAAATACAGCTATTTTTTAAAAAGACACTAAACAGTTATTGTCTTTATCCTGCAATTAATTTTGTACATTGTTTTTGCTTTGAAAGACAGAAAAATCACATTTATTACATTTACTTTCGATTTAAAATCCTTTGACGGAGTTTTAAGCGATACAAATACAGGCTAGCGATATCTGTTGTGCTGTTAATGTTTGATAAATCACCCAATTGCAGGATAATTATAGATTATCGTCGGTCATCTCAACGAGATTGATTTTCTCGCTTGAGCCGGAACGGCGAAAGTGAGAAAAGCAATCGAGTTGAGATGACCAATGCTTATCTGTTTATCGCTATTTTACCTATGACGACGTTGTTAATTTCATTGAAAATGGGCACGTGCTCCCTTAGTTTCTAGCGATAATTTTTCATATCACTCGACTCCACTGAGAAAGGAAATTATCAGTCAGCAAGATCAAAGGAAAATTTCGTAAAATAGCGATAAAATCAGACCTTGCGATTGTTTCAGCTAATCAAAAGTACGGATTCTTTATGAAACATACATGTAATGTTATTAGTGAATGCTTCGTTTTTGCAATATTTTATAGAGTTGTAAAAGCGTTGAATGTGCACCGACATTTTTAGTATGACGTCCGTGTTTTCTTTTCATACAAAATGTGCTTCTGTCAACGCTTTTACACCCAATAAATTTACCAAAGGATGCATTCAATTCTTATTCAAACCCCATAAGGTAACTCATATTGTACCAGCAATATAGACATGATAACCTTTATGAATTTTATTAAGTTATAGTAACCTCTGTAATTGCAAATACAATTGTTGCATGTCAGCATACTGAGGAATAGCAAAAACCGTGTATACAATGAAGATGAACAAGACAAAATAATTTACATTACAGAATGACATGATTTACACTAACACAGAAAAGGATGCCATTAAAAATAAACAATTGGGAAGTAACATGATAGCACTATAGGACGAAACAATAATTAGATTAACTCATTAAGATATTAAGATCACAGGCTCTTTGGACACGGATACTTTCATATGCCCCTATTATACAAATATTTTAATATATTTTTTCATAATTTAGTTTTCATTTAGTAATCATAGTTTTCTTCATTTTATGAGTTCTATTCAACAAAATCTTACACTTGAAGCACTTTATACTTTTCATCCATCTACTCATATTTTATAAATAAGAATTGAAGAGCGCTACATATGAATTGTTTCCAATGTAAATTATGTTGGCATGAGCCAAAGCACGTTAAATGAACGGAAATAAGATTAAATATAAGGAAATTTCATTGAAAATATCTTTAACACAGAAGATAATGAGCGAAAGGTGTCCATGCCCCGGGTCCATGCCCCCAAGTGCCTGTGAATCAGATATATCAGGTACAAAGTGCTTGGGTTGTTCAACCCAATATAATTATTAAATTGTTCCGTATCAGGGTTATTTATATAGGTTAATGTAGTTTTCCGTTAGAAAAGAATCGTTTATTTTATAAAAAAATAGTACTTAAAATGCTTGATAAAACAATACTATTCAATAGTCTACACCAAAGCAGAGGAAATGCTATAAGGAAGTATTAAGAATAAATGAACCAATTGATAAAAAACAACAATGAAATACAAAATTATTCCAACATTGACAGTGCCATTGTGTAAACACGGACACTTTTTTTTAGTACATTTATAGAAAGCAATGTTATTTCTTTTGCTGTGTTTTGCATTCCTTTGTTCTGTTGCCTCTGAGGACTGTAGGCATTGCGAATGGTCAGCTTGGGGAACATGTACCCATCGTTGCGGAGGTGGCACACAGAAACGTACACGTTATTGTTGTCTTAATCAGAATAACTCTATCATTAATGTACAAGTACAGAACAGGACATGTAATGCTATATGTGAAAATAATGGATTATTTGAGGGAATGTGTGTCTGCAACGCTGGTTTCCGAGGCAAATGCTGTCAATTAGGTAAGGAACATCTTTTTTCTTATCTTACAGAGGTATGTATATGCTACATTTATTTTTTGTTTAACGTGATCTTTACTCTTCCAGATTGCGATGATGGTTATTTTGGCAATGGCTGCAACTCTACTTGCAATTGTCCAACCGATGCAATATGTGACAAGGAAACAGGTGCATGTCTTCTGGAAATCTTGTCACCAGGTAAGTCTTGTCACCATCTTGTCTCCAAGGACTAGGAACTAACAGTTTTTGTTGAAGTGGTAAAATTATGCCTATATATATCCCGTTACCTTCATATTAAAAATAAGGAGATGTGGTATGCTTGTCAATGAGACAACTATCCACCAAAGTTCAAATGAAGTGGATGTAAGCAATTATAGGCAACCATACGGCCTTCAACAATGAGAAAAAGCCATACCGTATAGTCGGCTATAAAAGGCCCCGACAAGAAAAATATGAAACTGTATAGTATAATAATTTTAAGTCCGAACCCGAACGAACACAATTGTAAAAAAAATACATATATAAATAGACGGAGAGCAGGAAACGTAGTTTTCTGTATTACTAAAAGTCAATACACTAATGCATTTATTACGTATTTTGAAGGTCATAGCGTCTCAAAAGAAGAAACGTCAACCCGTCTATATGTCATTATTGGAAGTGGCATCGGTATCTTCTTTATACTACAGATTCTAATAGTCATTTTGATTGTTTCGTACAAGGGCCGAAAGCGACGAAAGGCGGAGATGGATAATCGTTTAGACAAAGAAAAATTCTGGTCAGGGAAGACAACATTGGATGGTACTGAAAACCATTACGAAGAAATCCCATTTGACAAAAAGGGGGGAAACGACTGCAAAATATCGAAAATAGAAACTGATAAATCAATGAAACATAAAACATCCATGAAGAAGAGTTCTATTCGAAAGGGATCTGTAAAGGTCAATGGAAACACAGCTATGAAATCGGAGGACATATACCAAGGGCTGGCAAAAAATGGAGAAGACTGTGGATATCAGGCGTTAATTGACCCTGATGCAATGAAATACATGGCAATGAAACCTCAGGTTATAAACCTTGGAAACCCTGGGTACATTTCGATGTCTGATTGTCCGGACAAAAGTTTAAACAAGGCAATTGATGACACAAAGGCGACAGAATATATGTCAATGATTGATGACACAAAGGCGATAGAATACTTGTCAATGTACAATGCTTCTGGAGATACTTGTGAAAACAAAAAGAAACTGTATAATTTTGAAGTTGAATAAAACTAGCACTAGAGTTACATTTGAAAATTGTTTCGATTAGAAAATTGTGAGTTTTTTTTGTTTTATGATGAAAAATATTGATCACTATCCTGGGTATCAATATTGCAGACACTTGTGTGTATCATTTTATGAGATGTTAACTGAGTTAAGAGAAGTAGTTGAAATCTTAGGCTCCAAAAAATCACACGGGTTGATATTGCTGTTAAATGTTTTTTCTGCCTCATCTCGATTTATCTTGTCAATCGATTTTTTCGAATTGTTACATAGGCTTCTGTTTGGTTTCAGGAGTATTTTGTTTTAAAAAAACTGGCAAAAACACACTTTTTTGGTGTAAAATTTGTAGTCATTGACTTTCTTGGGAACATTTATGACAGACCATGTCGGCCAAAATGTCTGATTTTACAGATTTGTTCCTCTTTTTATAGACACACGTGTTAGGGGTTTAGCAAATAACCAATCCACAGTTGAAATGTTTGCCAACAAATTTAATGATTAACAAAACAATATGTTGCGCAGACTTTTTGTTTTGCTATTAAGTCAATTTTTACAAATGAATTTCCAGGTGTATAAAGTTTAAAGCGCAAATGTTCATATTGTTTTAGCGCAAGTGTCCTTTTGTGTTGCAGGTGAAAGAGCGCAAACGTCTTGCGCCCCTTGAAACAAGGATGTCCTTTATCGCCTATTTTGTTCAATTTGTATATTAATGAGTTACTTCCATCTCTTTTAAGTCTTGACTGAGGAATAGAAAAAGGTGACGAAAAACTATACATTTTATTATATGCTGATGACGTTGTTATTATAGCAATCGATGAAAAAGAGCTATAACTTTTGTTAAATGCTTTATAAAATTTTTAATAATTTAGAGGGCAACCAAAAATTATTCTCAGATTTAAGTATACGTACGTGTGTATGTCATAACCTGTCATTTGATTTTCAGAAGGCGAAGAAATCTTATATATATTGTAAATAGCCCTTTACGTTTATTGTTTATCGTAGTATATCTATGCATTTTCATAGACTCTTATAATTCTGTATAAATTGGCTTTCATTTTATGTGATATTGTTATACAATTTATAAATATATATCGTAATTGTTGAGAGATGAGACTTTTAATAAAACATTGAATTGAATTGAATTGATGTGAGATCATGACATATTTAAAGCCATTTTTAACGGACCGAATTTTGTTAAAACTAGGCCAAGAATGACGGCAGGTCGGCCCAGAGTCAGCATTCCAGGCTTAATCTTTTGAGTCAAAAAGACCCTAACCATTATCAAAATGTAGGTTACAGTCTGTTAGAGGGTAAGAATCCTTCAGATTTTTGGGGTCATCGGTGGATGCAGATATGTCGCAGCACATATAAATATATTAAATTAAAAGAAAGGAAATTCGATAAAGAATTTTCAGTTTCAAAAATCTTTACTACTCCGGGATGTGTTTAATGTTTAGTTTAGATAACATGTATGATGCAACTATAACACCATCATGGCATTTCATATCAAAAGTTAAAACTCTTTAAATATTGACAGACAATCGTATCCCGTCTTATTTATAGAGAATCAATAAATTTGTTTAATTTTAGCTCAAAACTGACGACTTCGGTGTGCAAAAGACATATTTGTAGAATATGATTCACCAGCCACGCACATGGCGAAAAGTTTGAAAAGCCAACAATACTAGTCAAAACATTTACTAAATTTTATCATCGGTACAAGGACATCATTCGTAAATATAAATCAACATGCAGACATCTTATACGTTCAGGTATTTCACATCCAATATGTTATGGTAATATTCTTTACAAAGCACAAAAAAATCGGCATTCACCTCAAAAGCTAACCAAACCTTTAAACAGACTTATTCAGAAGGGATATAGTTACGATACTGTTGTAAAGTCATTAAGGATTGCCTATTTTGGTTTTAATATTGTTTCACTCATAGGGTCTTTGCATCGGAAATAAACACATTTATTCTAAAACCAGTTATTGGCATGATACGGGTTATGTTCTTCTCATATATTTTATGATGGTATGATACTAAACCCCTAACGGGAGGGATTGTACTTGATTTTCATATGATGAAGACATAATCTTTCAATCAGTTTAATTGAGGTCTGGAGCTGGCATGTCAGTAACTGCTAGTAGTCCTTTGTTCATTTATGTATCGTTATCATTTTGCTTAGTTTCTTTTGTTACCTATTCTGACATCGGACTCGGACTTCTTTTAAACTGATTTTTATTGTGCGTTTTGCTATGTGTTTCTTTATTCTACATTGGCTAGAGGTATAGGGGGAGGGTTGAGATCTCACAAAACATGTTTAACCCCGCCGCATTTTTGAGCCTGTCCCAAGTCAGGAGCCTCTGGCCTTTGTTAGTCTTGTATGTTTTTTAATTTTAGTTCATTTATATGTTTTGGAGTTTAGTATGAAGTCCATTTTCACTGAACTAGTACACAATTTTATTTAGGGGCCAGCTGAGGACCACCTTCGGGTGCGGGATTTTCTCGCTACGTTGAAGACCCATTGGTGGCCTTCGGCTATTGTCTACTCTTTGGTCGGGTTGTTGTCTCTTTGACATATTCCCCATTTCCATTCTCAATTTTAATATATAACATTTGTGAGAGCATAAAAACCAAAAGAACCTTAATAGATAAGCAAAAAAATTGAACCTTTGATGGCTTTTCTTTTTAAGTCCCCTTTTGGTCATATAGAGCATCACGTAGTTATATAAAAATGCTTGGCATTTCAAATTTTTAGATTAGAGCATTCCTAATGACGGTAAATTCAGAAAAGCGTGAAGGAACCACCAAATTTATAAAGTGCTATTTTCACTAACAAAACTCCTTCCTTTAAATGGATAATTTATTATTGTCTCTGTATTGATCACTTTAGGCCATGGGTGCAACAAGTACAGAACAGTGTACTAATTGTATGGGAAAACATGGTCTATTTATTATTTGTAATGGGCTTTGAATACCTGCGAGTACTTTTGGGTCGGGAATGTTTTAAAAGCAAGCAAAAATCAATTAATCTTAGGTTGGTACTTTGTGTCTTTTGTCATTTTGTAGTTAGTACCGTTTTAACGAGTCCAATCAAATAGTTTTTTTCTCAGTTTGTTCTATTTTTGTTGTACTGTTACACCACTGTCCCAGGTTAAGGGTAGGGTTGAGCGCTCACAAACATGTTAACCCGTCACATTCTAAGCCAGGAGCATGTAATCCAGTGGTTGTCGCAGGTTACCGTCTGTAATAATTTGGTTCTTTTATTCGTTCAGTATAAATCAGCCGTCGGTTTTCTCTATTGAATTGTTTTACATTTTGTAATACCTTTAACAGCTTACTTTAGGTATTTATTTTGCTCATTGTTGAAGGTAAGTTGATCAGTAGTTGTTTAGATCCTTGTCCTTTGTTTGTCTCATTGGCATTAATACCAATCTTCTTATATTTATAGTTTGGATGGTAGGACAGGGAAAAGTGGGTCACTTTAATCTGAGATTACTATAGCACATATCGTAGAGTAAGCTTAGACTTGCTATTACAAAATTGTTTTCCTGTTTTTTCAAATTTGGGAAGTAAAGCATTTTTTAGCGAAATTTAAAAAGAAGGCACTTATTTTGTGTAATTAGCTCCTCCTATATATATATATAGGTTTCAATCAAGATCGGCAAACCTTGATGGACAGATTGTACACATTGAAGTTCCTGTTATTACAGAATTGTTTCTTTTTTTTTAGCTCACCGGGCCCGAAGGGCCCCATGTGAGCTTATGCCATCACTTGGCGTCCGTCGTCTTCCGTCGTCGTCTGTCGTCGTCGTAAACTATTTCAAGAATCTTCTCCTCTGAAACTATTGGGCTAAATACTTTCAAACTTTAACTGAACGTTCCTTAGGGTATCTAGTTTATAAATTGTATCCGAATTTTTGATCCATCAACAAACATGGCCGCCATGGCTAAAAAAGGAACATTGGGGTCAAATGATTTTTTTGGCTTATATCTCAAAAACTAAAGCATTTAGAGCAAATCTGACATGGGGTAAAAATGTTCAATAGGTAAAGATCTATCAGCCCTGAAATTTTCAGACGAACCGAACAACTCATTGTTAGGTTGCTGCCACTAAATTTGTAATTTTAAGGAAATTTTGCAGTTTTTGGTTATTATCTTGAATATTATTGAAGATAAAGATAAACTGTAAACAGCAAAAATGTTCAGCAAAGTAAGATCTACAAAATATGACAAAAATTGTCAATTGACCCCTTAAGGAGTTATTGCCCTTTAAAGACGATTTTACACAATTTATTCATCATGTTTGCTAATATATAAAAATCTTCTCCTCTGAAACTACTGGGCCAAATACTTCCAAATTTTAACTGAATGTTATAAATTGTATCCGATGTTTTGATCCATCAACAAACATGGCCGCCATGACTAAAAATAGAACATAGGGAACAAAAACAGTTTTTGGCTTATATCTCAAAAACTACAGCAGTTAAAGCAAAAGTGATAGGGAGTTAAAGTGATAAATGGGTCATGATCTATCAATTATGAAATTTTTAAGACAAATTCGACAACCTATTGTTGAGTTACTGTTGGAAATAATTTCTTTTTATTAAATTTTACTGTTTTTGGTTATTTCCTTTAATATTATAATAGATAGAGAGAAAGTATAAATGGCAATAAATGTTCAGCTAAGTAAGATCTCCAAATAAGTCAACATGATCAAAATAGTCAATTCACCCCTTAAGGAGTTATTGCCCTTAAAACGTATTTTTTTTAACATTTTTTGTGAAAGTTAAATTACTTTTTCAAAAATCTACTGAAACTACTTTGCCAAATACTTAAAAACTTTAATAGAATGTTCCTTTGGGTATCTAGTTTATAGATTGCATTCGGGGATTTGATCCATTCAAAAACATGGCGGCAGTTTCTAAAAATAGAACATAGGGGTCAAATGAAGATTTTGGCTTTCATCTCAAAAACTAAAGCAGTAAGAGCAAAACTGACATAGGTGAAAGTGTTAAACAGGTTTAGATCTACCTGTCAAGTAATCTTCAGACCAACAGGACAACTTATTGTTGGTTTACTGTCCAGAAATAGTTAATTTTTAGGAAATTTTACAGTTTTGGGTTATGTATATCTTTAATATTATTATAGAAAGAGAGAAAGTGTAAATGACAAAATTGTTCAGCAAAGTAATATCTCGAATAAGTCAAATGCCTGAAGCTGAAATTACAGGTGAGCGGTATCAGGCTCTCATGAGCCTCTTGTTTTTGTACACGTTACAACATGTAAAATCAGTACTCTCAAATCTTTAGATTTACTGTTTTTACATTTTTTTCTGTACAATTTTATATTTGTGCACAATAAACCGGACTGATCCTGCTCGAAAATAATGATTAAATAAATAAATAAGTATAATCTACCTGTATTAACCGCATATTACCTGTAAAAGAATGCGCGCAAATGTACTAGTAATCAACAGCTGCGCAAACGTAATGATTTTTTCGCGCAAATGTAGTGGTAATGCGCGCAAATGTAATGCACCGATCTACTATTGTTCAACTAAGTGTATACTTTCTTTTTGGTCTAGTAAATTGTTAGCTCAACGGGGTCCGAAGGGCTCCATGTGAGCTTTTGCCATCACTTGGCGTCCATCGTCTGTCGTCGTCGTAAACTATTTCAAGAATCTTCTCCTCTGAAACTACTGGGCCAAATACATTAAAACTTTAACTTTATGTTGTAACAAAAATGTTCAGCAAAGTAAGATCTACAAAAAAGTTTATATGACTAAAATTGTCAATTGACCCCTTAAGGAGTTATTGCCCTTTAAGGACAATTTTACACAATTTGTTCATCATGTTTGCTTACATTTAAAAATCTTCTCTGAAACTACTGGGCTTATACTTCTAAACTTCAACTGAATGTTCCTTAGGGTAACTGGTTAATAAATGTATCCGAAGTTTTGATCCATCAACAAACATGGCCGCCATGGCTAAAAATAAAACATAGGGGTCAAATGCAGTTTTTGGCTTTATCTAAAAAATATATAGCAGTTAGAGCAAAAGTGACGGAGTTAAAGTGATGAATAAGTCAAGATCTATCTGCTATAAAATTTTCAGACCAATTGGACCACCC